TATTATGCAGCCTACAGAATAAAAAACTTTTAATTTGATTTTGAGTTTATTAAGAAAGAGATGAAAGTAAAATGTAAAACTACAGTCAATCACTGTCAGATTCAGAGTTATTACAAGCGATGAATTGTATAGGTTCGATAGGCTCTATTTCGTCTAAACTGTTATGTTCATTTACTTGCTCAATGAAAGCTTCTAAGGTATTTTCTTCATTAAACTGAATGTCCTCGCATTCAGCTTTATGTTTAAGATTCCAGTTATAACAAATGAATGAAATTTTTTCAGTTCTTTCAGTTGTAAGTCGATTTCTTTTGTTATTATGTATGTAGCCTTGGATACTAAAGGAACGCTCAGTGGCTGCCGAAGTACAGGGAGCTGATAGAATACGAATCGCTACTTTGCTTAACTCAGTGGAACCACAAATACCTTTCCACCATATTAGGGGCTCAATGCTATCTAATGAGCACCATACAAATCCTCTGGCCCAAAAGTTTTCTTTAGCTTTATAACACGCCAAATCTGCCATTACATTTGACAAACTTAAGTGTTGGCTTAAATTGTAGATAAACTCCATACCCTTAAGTTCTTCCTCTTGAGTAAGTTCGACTCCTAGAGTCCTGGGGTCTAGAATATATGCTGCAAAATGTATTGGCCTCATTGCCATATTGCATCTTGAAGATACTGATGTTAGAATCTGCTGTTTGCTTTCTTCGCTCAATGTCGAAATCTCATTTAATGCAAAACGTATCTTAGCTTGTACATCTCTAAATGTAATGTATGTGCGATGCAAACGATTCTGGTCGCTCTCTAAGTAAAATATGCTTTCAGTGACTGGTTCCAAAATACTTATACATTCCCCTGTCTTCGTCCAGAAATCATCACTTAGAATTAAATCTTTAATATCTCTTGAAATTACCACATCTTCTCTAACTGTTAATATTTGCAAAGCTATCTTATTTGCTTTCAAACTTTTTAACGAAGTAACATGACTTCCCCATCTTGTAGCACAAGGCAATTTTAGTGTTTGTGTAGAATCTTCACCCTGCCTTGATTTTATCAACAAGGAACTTAATCGTTGACTCCTTTTAACAGTTTTTATTATATTTATGGCTTGCATAATAAACACAGTTACTTCTTGTATCTTTACAATATCTTGGCACAACAAGTTAAGGATATGTGCACAGCAACCGAGAGGAACAACATGTGGATATTTGAGTTTTGTTAATTCGAATGCCTTTTGTATATTTCTAGCGTTATCGCCAATAAGTACAAGAAACTTATTTGCTCCATACACTTTCATTACTTTTTCAACTTCTTGGCTAAGGTATTCACTAGTGTGAGGATTACTTTCTGTATTCAAACTTTTAACGTATGCAGGTTGAGGTTTTGATATAAGAAAGTTTATTATTCCTTCATTTCTTAAATTAGACCAGCCATCGCACTGAAGGTGTAAGTAACTACAAGCATTTAGTTCCTCATTTAACTCAAAACGCATTTCTCTATATATTTTATCTAAGTATTTTGTCGCTAAAGCTTTACGTGAAGGTATTTTAAATTTTGGTTGCAATTTTTCGAAAAATTGTATCCATAAAGGATGTTGCACCATCGATAATGGCGTCCCTGTTACAAATATAGCTCTCGCTAATTCTGTTTTTATATGATCATCGGTGTCTTGAAACTCAGCATTTATTGTAGTGTTAGCAGACGACGAGGGGCTTATAAAAGAATCATTTGTCTCTATCTCTGACAGTCCAGACATTTTGGTTTTGGACGAGCTATCTTTTATAAGTTTCATAGAGTCTTTTAATGTTTCTGGAGATTTTGGACAAGTGATAAGATGTTGAAGCATTTTGGCAGCATTACTGAATTTGTAGACCTTATTACAAAGCTTGCAAGAAACAGACTTGTTTGGTAAAGTACGGTAGTGCTCCCATATGCGTAAATCTTTAGGTCTCCCCATTGAACCTAAAAAATGAACGATGATTAGTTGGTCTGACGAAAATTCAACAATAGAGTGCCTATTTTTTTACAATGATTATTTCTTGTTATTTACAATAAATTTATTAAAAAAATAATAAAATAAATACAAAAAACCTTTGTAAAATTACATCTCCTCGGAGGATTAAACGCAGACGCTAGTTTATTATCGTATTGTTCTGTATTTTTCTCAGCAACTTCTTTAATTCGATTAGGTACTTACGCATATTATGTTAAAAATAAATATCTAGTACACATCTTAGGCTATCCACCATTATTATCCAATGACGACTCTCAGCTAACTATGCACTATCATCCAAAATAAACGTGTATGGAAAATTTTATCCCAGTCGGTTGAGGATTGAGGATAATTGCATCAACATACGAACATACCTACATACTTTTATTTACATAACGCAAGCTAAATAAAAGCTTGTAATAATACATCTAATTTTAAGTTAAAATTGTTAAGTGATCATGATATAATTGTATCATTCAAAAATCCACTTACCTTTAATTATTTCTTGTTAAGTATAAATATTATTTCAAATCTGCTCCCTTAATATGCACTTTTTTACTGCTTTTCCTACCTAACACGTTACCAGGAAGTCACGTTACCAGAGTCAGAGTAATAGTGAACACGTTTGACAGTGATTGTCGTCGCCTCATATTCAGCGTCGACGAATAGGGGAATCCCCAGTCATAATGTATTGCATGCGTGGCGGTCTTACTTCAAATCCATAAACAAAGAGATAATTACAGAACTCGATACTAGATGGCGCTGTTTTTGTTTGAAGAAAGTTTGCGGGCTAAAATACATAGAATTTCATCAATGACTTCCACAAAGAACAACATTTCTGTTTTTTCTAAGTCCGTATCTCTTCCGTATATTTCATAAGATATAAGCTTGGGCTACATTGTTATGCAACGTGATTTTGTCGCTGTCTTGCTAGCAGGGTTGACAGATATACGATTTAAATGGTACTCATACTATTATTTGTCTATTTTTTAATGTACGATCGTAAAGATTATGATCGTAATTCGCACAAAAACATACGACTTTTTGGTTACCTGGCAACATTTTTATTATGAAACGAACATGCTCACATCATCAGTCACATGCAACAATTTATTGGGGATTTCCCCTTCACATCTGGCAGTCCTGCTTGCTAGAATATAGGTAAGTCAGCCACAGTTACTGACGATCGATATTTAAAGGGTATTGTTTTTGTGCTAAATATTTCATAAAAACGTTATTTAATACTTTGTGGATTATTAATTTAGTTGATAATCACTGGAAGTAAAATGGATGCTAATTTGAGAGATCAAGATCTTCGTATAAAACAGTTAATAAAAGAAAATCTACGTAAGTACTCTTTTTATACCTAGGTAGGTAAGGTATAATAAACACAAAAGGTACTTAGATCGCGTGTGTTCGAAGCATTTATTCTAATAAATTTAATTTAAAATTGTAGAAAGAAAAAAATGTCTGCCAAGCCGTAGCCGAAGCCGATCTCCAAATATATTTGGCGATAGTGAGACCCAGTGTCCAGATGATTTACCCAGCGTCGTCGCAACAAAGAAAAGAAACGAGGATAAAGTAAAAGAAAATTTACTGAAAGAAGAAACAAACTGTTCTAAATGCTTAATTTATGGAGAAGAGGATAAAAGAAATGAGTATTTCGGACTGTTAGTGGCTCAAGAATTTAAATATATACGGCCATGTGTGCGAACGAGGTGTTATGAAGAAATTTTAAAGTATCTACGGGAAGCAAAAGGCCAACATGTTGATCAACTGCAACATGAAAACACTGAAAATTAATTACTTTCATTTTATTATATATAGATTTTTAAAATTTCCTGAAATATTATTAGTTAACGTTTTATTTAATATTGTAGAATTGATCAATACAATTTATAAAAATAATTTATTGGTATTACTTACATATTTTCAAAAAAATACGTAAAAACCTATTTTTTTGGGTGATTATGGGAGTTTATGGGTGTTTATTGGGTTTTTACCAAAGCACCGGGTTTAAACCCGGTGCTTTGCCCATCTGTAGTTGCATACACATTCATTAGTTATTTGTAGTCATAATTTATTTTTAATTTAATGCTACTTAGAATGGCTAATAAGCTGACGGCACGCCTGAAGTAACGTGGTAACTTTTGCACTATAGACATGAACGGTACCAAGGACATAACAGAGCATCTTTGTCTCCCATGATACTCTTCATGTATTGCCATTCCTGAGTTTCCATTCCCATTATGTAATGTGTAGAAAATAAAATAATCATATTTTAATTATTTACAACCTAGTTTGTTTGTTAGAATTATCATTTGTCTGCATCTCCTCTCTATATCCTCAACTGGCCTCCTAACGTGCCGCCTTCTATCGCTGTCCTCTGCCACTGTGACGTTATCCCGTGTCCACGTCGAGAGCAATATTGACCATACTTATTTTAAAAAGGCCAATAGATTAGTTAACATTCATTCCGCTCCTTCATTTATGATAACGCGTGTCATCTTCGAGGAAAACAACGAGGCGGAGTGGCGCTGCGGCCCGCTCGTGACCGCCGCACGCACTCACCATGCAGCAGCCTGCCTACCAACCTACGTCCTAAATTCAGAACACAGGGATGGCTCCACAAAAGCAAAACATAGCAATATAAATAGTTGCTCGCAGTTTCACCCGCAACCTTCATCTCTCATTACCGTGGGAATTTCGGGAATACCTTAATACTGATCATTTCAAATTTTATTTTTCTAGAACGACCGCCCGTTATAGACGTGCAACGGACACTGTCTGACAATTAGTTTGCGTTATTAGATAGATGCGAGAAATGTCTATCGTCCGGAGCAATACAATACAGGTGTGGCAACACTTCCGCTATTGCAGAAGTAGAGAAGAGAAAAAATATTTCTATATTTAGTAGGGGTGTTTGGAAATTATTATAGGGTAACTCAGGACATTTCATGAATGGTAGTGTTAATAATTAAACTATCGTCATCAATAAAGCACTGACCTTCAGCCGGGTTAGAGACCGCATCGTGCACCAGCGACGCGACGCAGCCTGACAGACCTGTAACATATATAAACGTCCTTGTTGGTTCAAACATTTTCCTTCACTTACAAATATCTGAAGCTGATGTTGGAAGTTCGCTTTTAAGTGATCCATTGAATTAATGACAGTGGCACTGAGCAAATTAAACACATCAAGTTCTGTGTGATAAATAGGGCCAATACATTTAAAAAAACACTAACTTATTATAACGTTTTATCTTTTTTTTTCTATTTTTAACTACGAAAAGGGCACTATTGACATCAAAGTAATTAAACCACTACTTTGTATATATGAGTCCATAATCACTTTAGTTGAAAAGCAAACAAACTGACACATCACCAAATAAAAAGTTTATCTCCTGTGCGACATACAAAATACTTGAATTATTTATATCTGGTCTATCGGGCAGTGATTTGTGCGTTAATACAAAGCACCGCCTGTATCATGGTGGACGCTCAGATGTAGCCGCTCTCGACGAGGGAAAGGAACCAAACCTCTTGCATTGAAGCAGCACAATGATGATAGAGTCTGGTAAGAGAATGTTTTGTAGCTCCCCTGGGTAGCATTTCTGTCGTGTATAATGTTTGATTCGGTCTAAAGAATAAAATTAGAGATTGCACTGACATATTACCCTAATACTCTGAAACGGCGATGTGTAAAGGACGCCCTGGACACAATATATTCTGTGAGTTCATGCATTATTAATCACTAGCACTAGCTCGCAGCTTCACCCCCCTAATATAAGGTAAAAGTATCTCAGATATTACGAACCACCTGTATAACAAACATTCAAATTCGTCCATTCTATTAAATGTGTCGTCCGGGTAGCGCATTCCGTACCATCTATACTCATGTACACGTATTTTTTTGGGTTCGTTCTTTGTTCCATCATTGTCACACCTAGATGACAGGAGCGGAGGTGTAATGTCTACTTAGAGCAAAGTTACCGTGCGTGATGTGGTCGTGCCGGTGCCTGGTGAGCTGCGCGAGGGTGTGCTTGATGTGCTCGTAGGTGGCGAAGTAGCACGCGTGCGCCGGGCCTGCGCCCAGCACCACCGCCGACATGCCGCGGATAGGCCTGCCAACAAACCACCTCTGTTATCATTAACAGTTATTATCATTATCATGAAATGTTTGATGCATTCATGTGCATCAAACATTTAATTAATAATGGTAAAACTACAGAGTACACTACAGACTACACGACACTATCGTGCTCAGGAACGACAACCCATGAGGGGTATCTCATGAGTATCACAATGCATTTATATATCTTGTAATGACTCTATCTACTGTCTGCGATAGTGAGTTTGACTTTAAAAGTAATCCATTTTCGTCGTATCATCATGACCGAGGACGGCGGCTGTCGTAGGTGACTGGATTAGCAAACCCAATACTGTGTATTGGATACGACGGGTCTCAGATCGCTTACCGTTTTCAAGTAAACATATTTTGCGCAATTACTGGCGCACAGCGCAATTATGCGATGATTTGACAACTACAAAAAAAACAAGGTCGACTCGAAAGCATCGCATGAGCTTCTTGTTTTCCTGTTTATTTAGAAGTCATTTATCATTTTTGGGCTCACTCTTCTAGTGGATAGAGGTTTTATTGAAGACTTCGCTTCGAAAAACAGCAACTTCACCCGTGACAAAATGAATATAGGAACAATACGGATATTGACAAACAGCTGGTGGAGGCGAGCAGGCGATTGTTATTAATTGTGACAAGCAGCCCCACGGCTAACAACATAGCTATGTTAGTTCAACATCTACGCAATCACCCCTGCAAACCATCGTGATTTATTTCTGGTAAATTAGACATGATGAGCCCGCTGATTTTACTAACCCCTAATACTGCTACTGCTCTAGCATAAACTAACAGCGCAGACGGAGTCTCCTTTCCATTTTCACCCATACACACACAACTAGTCATTCACAGAAATACACTATGTCAGGAGCGAGGGAGGGGATCATATTTAGGCGGAAGTGAGACAGCACCATCGTGTGGTGAGAATGAGATAACACTACTATTGGTGGGTCCAGAATACGACAATATGGAACGAGTCGGAGCATTCGGAGCAACACGACAGGGCGTTACGTCAGCGGCGATCAAGACCTACACACCACACGACGTGTGTAATTTAATTGCCGATTAATTTTCCGGTGACAGAAGGTGCTGTTGACGAACAAAATTAAACATCTAGCACAACTATAATTATTGTACTGGATTCAAGTGTCGGTGCACACATATTATACGGAAAGGGTTCAATTGCACATGCATTTCATTGCATAAAGTGTCGCGCTCCCTCCTCATCGCTTGTTTATTATAACTTTAATCCGTTACTTTGTTTCGTGACATAACGTAGTACGAGTCCTCTATCCTACTCTCCTCTACCTTACAGGCATAAGTACAGAATATAAAATATAGGCTAATACTAAGAATTGATAAAGATATTATATGTGTCAAGATAGATATATATTACAGGAAAAATAAAACGATGTTCTCGACTAGCATGCTTTTTGATAATTTATCGAAAACCAATTTCATTCTGCGAATGCGGATTCTAAGGAAATGCTAATTGTAATAATAACAAATATTTACCTATTTCATATTATAAGCAACAATAAACACATTTGTACGTAGACAATTACATATCTACTAGCTGGAATAATTCAAATCTAAACAAATCAATAACCTATTATTGTTGAAACACTTTCTTTAAGAAACCCTTAGTATTTAAGTATAAATTGCACTTATGTTATTTTATTAATATTTAACTTACTAAAAATTTTGCGTATTATGAACAAAAAATCGGATGGGTTGTTATTGTTACTAAGTATCCGGACCCATCACACCAACTGCGCCAAAGCATTGAAGGTCACTCGATAGTTGGCGTCACCTCACCAACTTATTCATTGTCCGCCACGCTGGCTAAAATTATTCGTCTAATAACAAACCAAATTGAATCGATCGAATTTGTAATTTAAGTATTAGGTATTTATAACCTTATTTGTAGTACAAATTAAGTAAACCAATAGTTTATTTACATGACTACAATTAATTGTCAGAGGAAGCGTGTTGGAATTTCACGTGATTAAACTTAATGAATAAATATACGGTCTACATGTAACGAAACGGTAGCATAATTACTTAAGGAGGCTAAAAATGGAACCCGAATGAGTCATTCTTGGAATTGATGCCTGTCTGCCTGGCGATAGCATTTCATTTTCGTCCATTAAAAAAATTGTTCCCTAATGATAAACATTGGTGAGAGATAAACCACAGCAAATTAATTAATGAGGTAAACTCGTCTTCTGTCAAGCCGTGGAGTGCTAGATTTACTAATAACAGCTACATTGCTTAATGCTACAGATGATATAATAGATACTGTTATGACCCCCATTACCACATCTAGAACAGATGCTATACCATATTCGGAGATAATATAAACAAATACATTTTAATTTGCAAAAAACAATCAGTGAATTAAATTAACAAAACATACATATGAACGATGTTTTGTAATCACATTAGATTTTGCTTCGCAATACTCGTAATAGTTGATTGCATCACAATTTAAAATGGCGAAATTGTTAATAATTAATAAACGGACGCAGGAGTTGGACCATATCGATCGACCGTAAAAAAATCTAAATCAGTTGAAAATTTGGAACGTAATCCAGTAACATGGATAAAAAATACAAATGGAGAACCTCTAACTGAATTAAGAGATTATACATTCTATTTGCATGGTTATGTGCCTGTTGATGAGGTTATATCAATACAGAATATGACTTTTTCCAGTGCTCATTATTTTATTATTCGATATTCTGTTAGGTATTCCAGAGTACATAAGCCTAAGCAAAATATTTCAGTTTTGATATTGGAAAGGCAAGGAACACTATACTTTTAATAACTTTAAATCAAACACATATATTTCAATGCTTTAAATAAATGTTTTAGTGAAGTACATGTACATATATATACATCTTAAGTTCTGGCTGTATATTGGACAGAACAACGTCCTTGAACATTAAACTGCGTAATTTGCAACAAAAACAAGATAAGTAGAAATAAATCATATTTGATTCACTAGAATCCTCCTGCGTAGCATCCGTTGAGGTGAACGCCAGTTAAAGATATAACGCGAATGCGTGTGGTGTGAGTGGAAACCGCAGTTTAAGTTCCTCGTCGTGTCGACGGAATTTGTAATTGAAATTAACCTTCGACAGTTTCTCCGTTGCTTATTTTCCTCAAACATACACTACAACAACACATACAGCTGCAATTTCCTAACAAAAGCATTTTTAATAAAGGCAATTTAGCCGCCCTCTCTATTTGACCTTGAGATGTGGCACGCATGCGCACCTCAGTCATCCACAAAAGGGCTGGCTGATGTGAGGATCGTCGATACAAAAGCTTCACAATCGATGTATCAAACAGAAAATTGGTATCAGGTTTAATGGAGGTACATACAGAGAAGTATTAAATAAAGCAAACGAGAAGCCCTCGAAGAGTTCAGTTAGCACAGTGCACCAATGTCGCGAGGTGGTCTGGTCGCGATCACGGCGCTGTGACGTCACCTCGCATGCCGAGCAATCCGCACACACCGTGCTACATATTTGCTGAACTAATACTACTCGTTCAAGATAAGATATTGGTTCTTGTTACACTTAACAATAGACATATCAATTCAGTTGCGACGAAGGAAACAATTAACCGAATAATCTTATTTTATACAATGTGTACGAGTATGTACCTACCACTACCACTACTATGGTTGCAAAAACCGCACAACTTGAAAATAATATATTATTACTAGGTAGTCGACTACACATTATATGTAACAACCGTACCAAACTAATAATAGTATGTATGTGAAACGAGTCTATTAGTTTCAACTTCAAGAATCGTAAAAACAATAATAAACGGACTCCATAAAAAGCTGTTTCCTTGCCCGTGCAAGAAAATTAAAAAAAAAAACGTGGTGACAATAATGTTTTTACTACTAATTATGTATAAATACCACATGAAGAGTGAGTCTCATAAATATCATGGTAGCTAATTTTTAAATAATCCCAAAATATAATCATTCATTTTAGTTTAATGAAAAATAATTATTATTAAAAATTATCTTCATGCGTTCAAATAACGGATCGCGCTTGTAGCCGACAAAACAAGATATATTTATGACCCGAGAAAAAAGGAGGATGACCTACAAAAAGAAAGGATATCCCATCAAAAATAGCAAATGTAAAAAATGCAAAGTCTCACAACGAAGTGCTTGCAACACACAAAGTTGCTAGAACTCGTATAAAAGCAAGAAAGTTATTTTAGTTAGTGTCTATGGAAGCAGCTATTCAACATCTGTTAAAATTGTTATGTAATTAATTAGCTAACAACATTTTAAGTATTTGATGGTATTAAATAATAAAGATGTAGGAACATTTGACATGGCGGGCTCAAGTAGCAAATAAAGATAACAACTATGTGACAAAAAACACAAGTGTTAAATTTCCAAATACCAACTCAACCTTGATAAATATTTAGGTAATGACATTATATAATATTTTCAGAATTCTTATGATACGCTCATTCATACCCAGCTGCAATGTGGTGTTTGTAAAAATTATACCATTTTGACTAGCCTTCTGTTAACTACTCAACACTGTTAACCATTTCATACAATAGTAATACAGTCTTTGTTCAGGTTACCAGAACCCACACTATTATTGTACAGGCTATTATAGTTACAGTACTAGTATAATTACGTTATAATCTAAGATTGCAATACGAGTTCAGGCTGGGATCTTTCTACATGCTACCCAGTACAATGGTTCATGTAAAAAGAATCCAGCCTATCTGCTAACATGGCCATGATGTGGTTGCGGCTGGCCTGTAACTCTGAAGAGCAACGACTCAGGCTCACGAATGATGGCATAGAAACAGATCACACGCATTTCTGCAAGCATTCCCGATGCAGAATGAAGGCAGTCTCAACAACACCCGGAAAGCGTTATTACGAGTATATTGTACTCTTAGGAGTGTTGTACGATTTTTGAGTATATCTCGCACTTCGACGCTGGTATAAAATGACCGACGAAATGCTTTAAAACAAGGTGAGCACGTTAACACTAAATAGAAATTGGAAAGAACTGGGAAGAACAGAAGTTTTATCCATTGGTCATATTTCAGAAATATGCAATAGATATAAAATATTACATAAATCCAATTTCCATCGTAATCATGATACGTTAGTAGTATTACATGAATGGAGGTGAAGATAATCGGAGATGTGTCGTTATCGGCCGCGCCGTGCCGCGCCGGTTACTGTGCTCTTATCATTGCGCATCTTTCGCAAGCATCGCCCGTCTGACGAACGGAGACACCGCTCGGTACCGGTGGCTGGAGCGCCCGCCCCGCGGTACAACGTCCAACTCTTTTTATTCTAGGATCCCTGAACGAAGTAAATTAATCAAGATACTTCACTAATAGTATTCCGCCGTTTCTTGTTCTTCGTTAACTAGTACAGTCAACGCGGATGCGGGCGATTAACTTATTTCCGCCACTTACTTTCAGTAGTTTTATCCAATGAACTGAAACCACCCGTATGAAATACAGAGCGAGATTCAATGTTCCAATCCCATATTTATGATTTAACTATAAGAACGTTTACGAAACAAGATATAATAACAATACAATCAGCTTGTCCGACATTCTAGACGGTATAAGAGATTAGTGAACAGAAGCCCACACTCTCGACTCGATGGCGTGCAAGAGCAACTGCTTTACAAGTATAAACGATAAAGGTGGGGTGACGGAAATATTATTCAGAAAATTGTATCCTCCAGGCTAATCTAGTTGACGTCCAACATTTAGGTGCAATGTATCCGAAGCATACCTGGTTTTTCTTCACAGAAGAAATTGAATCTACCACCCATCCTCCTTGAGATAGTTATGAGGTTCACTACTGATGGAGTTAACAAAGATATGACAGATACTCTAGGCCCACGCCAGAAGCCAGAAGGTGGAATCGGTACAATCGGATCCATGAAGACGTTCATAGTTTTACCGCAGTAACAGTAACAGTAACTAATCAAGTACTTATCAATAATTGGGTCAATTTCATGAAATGTAATAATTACTATCTGATACATAAGTATTACGGCGTCAAGATAGTAAAGATTATGTGATTATGATAGTTGAATAAGGCGCGCGATACAAGATTATCTATAGCGATAAACGTACGTGAAGTATCAAGAATATAACTAAAGTGCACAATGATAAGTGTGGCAGCACTCGTCGCTCGGCCGATTCACTCGCCAGCCGCAGACGATCAATTAGGTTAAGCAACATTATGAGCGGATCTTACTTAGACGGTGGTAGCACTGCCATACCTATTGAGGTATGGCAGTCACAACCATGTGATTTTGATCCATTTTCTACTGACTCCTCAAAGAAAAAAATCTAAATGCATTCTTTTATTTGTTGTATGTATAATACACCATTTCTGACCTTTTTGCGGGTCCCATACAAATTTTATCAAGAATAAAACCGTTTTTGTAGAACAAAAATCTATACGAAATCTTTTGAAACATCATACACTGTCACGTGATAACCTTAATAACACAGAACTTAGATGTAGAAACCAAAACAATCGTCTAATAGTAGAGGCTAAGATTGCTCTACTGAAAATTAATTCTAGGACACAAAGAAAATTGTATAATTGTTTAGAAAAAATCTACTGAACTATCAGCGCGCGTGTCCGGATCGCACTTGACCGATCTCAAAATAAAAATGACAATGTAGAAATGACCGAGTCAATACATATTATGCGGTTATCATAAGGCAATACAATGTCACTTCAAGTGGACAGCCGGACGGCCCGAGCGGAGCCACCTTTCAACGATGTCTCGCGGAGTCGTAGCGGGCGATAGATGCCACTTGAACTAGTTGAATAATTTAATATCGCTTACAATTGCATAGGTGCAGAGGACGGGCTCCAGCTAAGTATATACACTGATATATACTGCATACTATTACAAAATAGTAACAAGGGCAAAACTATTACGCAATTAAATATAAAGTATTTACGTAAATCATAATATTCCACAACAGGTTTTAATGTCTGTTTGTGTATTATTTCCATGCAATTCTATACACTCATGCATTTGTATCGTTTTGAGATGACAATCACTGATTTTGACATCGTTGTAATGACTACGAGATACAAATATAGACATAAAAAACGTCGCAAGTTTTCGACAGATGCGCAGGAGGCTCAGGATCGCACTGATTGGCGAAATATGGAGAAGACCCATGTTCGTCAACTCTACTCTACTCGCACAAAATCCTTTGTGGATTGGGCAGAAAAACAAGACACAAATCCTTAGATACATCTTATGTTTTTTTTTTTTTATACCACAAAGGTAGCAAACAATTACACAGATCGTCTGATGGTAAACGGTCACTACTATTAGTCTACAGACGTCACGTGTGTATTGCCAACTCTGAAGGTATCTTAATATACTCTTTTGGAAGACGCCATACTGTAGTCTCTAGGAAAAACCTCGGCAGGGAGCTCATTCTACAGCCTGAGCATTCGCATAAGAAAATTCCTTCAAATAAATTAAATAATTTATTGTTATTTCATGAAATGTTTTATCTTTAATTTAATTTAAATTTAATTCAAGTAATTTGAATTGTTGGATGTCATCGGGTGAATGTAAATTATTAATGTTTTTATTCATTTGATGTCATTTAATAGTATAATAATTCTATTTTAATATTTTTTAAACACAAAGCATGCTGTGGTCGCCTCTAAATGTAATAACAGTTAGCCGTAACCCACTAGTGTAATGTATCGAAATGTTTCGCTCTATCTTATGTTGGTGATCCTAAGTAAATAAATAAACCACGCTGTACGTGATCATTTAAGTTCATGCGTGTGAGAATGAATTCCCTGTCGATAGGGAACCCTGTTGTTAAAAGGTTATCCTGACCTTTCATTTCAAAACATATCCTATTGAATTGAATGACAATTTGCAATATTTATTTATATATAATTTATCCGCTGTAAAAAAATTGGCAACTTTAGTTACACGGGTAACATGCGCTGCAGGGCTTTCAGCATTATCACTTATGTAAGTAGTTCATTAAATATGCACATAGTAATGACGGGCCGGCTCGCGACTATTGTACGACACCGACAAACAGCTGGTTGACATTAACCTTTATAAGCGCAGGTGCATATACAACACGCGCTCCACGTATCGACTTTACAAACATTTTCCCATACATGATTTATGACAATACAGAGTTATTTCATTCTATCATTGTAACCAATACATTCCCATTACTAAACTTACTGTCACACCTCTATGGAATTGCATTTTATATGTAATATTTATTGTTTTATAGAATATCCATACCACAACCACCATATACGATCGCACTATTTACCAACCACAGGGAAATCACAACGATTCCATAGAACCTAGATAGTCATGTGTAGTGCAGTTTCAGAAGAGCTTCCACTAACGCCAAGACTTTTTTATAGATTTACAGGTCGATAAGGTCCTGGTATCTAGTGTAGAGATATAAGCTACAGTAACCTATACAAGGGTACTATAAGCGCCTGGTTTGTTACCTTAGCGATATAAAAAACAATTAGACCTAATAAGGAAATTAGTGGTACAGTCAATACAATCATTGACAATATTTATGTACAACGATAGAGGGAAAAACTGCAATGGAATAAAAAAAACGTGTGTACTTCTCATTGTTATGTTTGGCAAAATATTTCTATCAACAGTGCCTGTTATAACTATCGCCTATGCTTCGATTAAATATCGCCATATTTAGCACTTACGCAACGCCGGGTTAGCGCCGACAGTGAATGGTAACCTCACGTACGCGATAACGAGATAATGAACGCTGCAGCTAATGATAGGCCACGTGTCGCGTCCACCGACCGCACCACCATCGACGGCACTAAACTGTGCTGAGCGTATATGGGAAACTTTCATTATGATGACATGACTATAAAATTGAATACAATATACCTACGGGCAGTAAAATTTAGAATACATAGAAGCCTGCACTCTTGACGTACGCAACAGATGATAAGTGAAAATAAAAGCAGGACAGTTAGCCCATCGCAACGAACCCCAAAAATATTAACTACTATGCTTTTTAGGTAAGTGCGTGGAGTTCAACCTGACAACCAGTCTCACTGGTAGCAACGTACCCGTTGCTACCAGTGAGACTGTTCCTTTGCGCCCGAAAGGGATCGTTAATAATACCGGTAGCTATTCGGTTAGATTACTCTCCATGTAAGACAACTGGCCTGAGATCATCCCTCTCTACCGCACCAGAGTAAACCAAATGCGGGGTATTCAATCTCCATCCATAAAAAAATAATTGACTAATAAAATAACTAGCTGTCGTTAACAAGAGTATGGTGAGCGTGGGCTACCTGAGCAGCCCCTCCCGCTGCACCATGTGCCGGAAGGTCTCCGCGATGGTGCCGTTGTGCGCCGTCCGCAGCGACTGCATCCGCGTCTGGAACAATTTCAACACATTATGTATATGTTGTACATAATACTTATATAACAAATATAACATTGCTTCATAAAAAAAAAACTTCAACTTCGACTTTCGACTTCAGTCATAAACGACGACACCCTACAACGACACATTTCGTTTTGACTTTAAATATTGGTTATAGATTTTACTTCGCAACAAGCAGTTTTTTGTACCGCAATCATAAAGTGCAGCTCAATCGTCATAAGATTGAAATGGGATCAACACGGGAATATTTTTTTTACAACACAGGGGGCAAACAAGCATGCGGCTCACCTGATGGTAAGTGACTGCCACCGCCATTGATCACCCGCAACACCAGAAGCATTGCAGGTGTGCTACTGGCCTTTTAAAAAGGAATATGCTCTTTTCTTCAAGGTTATGATATAATATAATCATTGATTGCAAAAGGAATTGTGCAAATCGGTGAAGAACAGACGACAATCGCGCAACAGCGCGATTGTCGTCTGTTCTTCACCGATGTGCGGCTGAACACAGCCGCACAGCATTCAGACAAGTCGAAAACCTCCCTTCTTTATCAAGTCGCTTAAGAAATGAATAAATATATTTTTTGTTTAAGAGAAAGAGAATAGTTAATTGTGCGGCAACGTTAAAATATTTCTTGAGACACCGAACACATTGTTATAAATACGAGTAGTATAATAATAATAGGCAGGGAAATAAGTTCACGTGATCAAAAAAGGGCGACGAATTAATTTTTGTCCGAATCGGTGAAATAGCTAAATCCAAGTCTTGTACAAATTTCATAAAGTGGTAATAGTAGTAAAATAAGTCATACGAAAACAGTTAAATAACTGCGGCAAAGAAGAATACAGAATCAATTTAAAAGAAGGAAAACTTTTAGCAAAGATTTATTTCTGTACTAAAGTTAATACACAATTTCTTAAATACTATTACTAATTATAAATAGTCTCCCAACACACTACACCGAGGCAGCGTACCCTAGATACTGACAGCATTGCCTCTTTAGATTGTTAAACTTATCTTTTGGGCAAAGTAACTACCAGTTCTCGGGTCACAGAGGCGCGCTACGATCGTCCGATAAATAATCTTTGCATCTGGGCCCCAGGAGCCCATCGTCTCTACAGCAAATGGTAGGAAACAATAAGGAAAACAATGAAGAACTAAAATTACCTTTATTTATTCTATACAAACAGGTGCTTTATAGGAATTGTGATGTTTTGCAAATAAATTACGATTACAATGTATTTGCAATTCTTATTGGCACGTGACCGGCCCGTAATAGGCAAGTACAAAATGTGCCCGCAACCGTAGGCATCAGGTAAAGTACTCAACATAATAAGTTATCTGTTATGCAAGTCTATCATATATCGATATATCATACATTTGATGTTAATTTATATGTTTATTTTAAACTTTCACCTTGTTTGCACATATTTTTAAATACACAATCTATGGGGGAAAAGGGATTGTTAGTAATGGGGTCAAATAGTCCCATTACTAACAATATACACTGTCAGGTCGACCTCCACGCGGTTCCCTCTGGAAACCATCGTGGCTAATTCTAGTTGAATTTGTCACGATGGGCTAACTGACCTACTTTCATTCTCAGTTATCATCCCTCACTAGTGCCCCGTCAGTGTATACCGATAGCGCAGACGGGGTTACAACAATTTTCGATTTTATAATAGTTGTAGAATTAAGTAGACAGAGCAGCAATTACTGGAGATAATTTATTAGTTGGTCAATTTAATGTGATAAATATAGCAATCGAGTTCACAGCTCGGGTCAGATCCCATTACTAACAATCCCCTTGAATCCAAATCCCTGCGAAGTCTGTGAGTCACATCAGGCCTCATTTCCAGTTTGCCCAGGGACGCCTCAGTAAAGGATCTCGTGGTGATTTTGTCAGTAAGGGAGAGGGGAGGGGACATAAAAAACTTGGCCTGCGGTGCTAGGTAGATTAAAACCGTGTCTAAATTCTATCGACAATAGGTATCGACCCAGAAGATGATATTTCAAACCAGTTTTATTTGTACAACCGTAATGATTTGGTAAGAAAACCTTGGCAGATAATTCATAACCAGAAAGTTAACAAGAGGAAATATCTCAAAAACCGCACTAGGTGTGAATGCTAAACTTGTAATCACCATGACATGGAAAATTTGTTATTTTTATGATAAATATTTCGGACCTGCCTTTAGTGGCACGAACATGTTATTGCGCACCTATTACAGTGGTGACGCTGCTGCCTGTGCTGCCGACGACATGTGCTGTGGCAGCCGTCGGCACCATGTAATCAAGTCATATTGCTGGCAGCCGCTCGACCGTATAATGGACGTGACACCTCAAAAATCATTTTTGTCAAAAACGTTACTCACAACTAGTAATCTATCACAATCATAAAAACCGATTTCAACTCCGAAGCGTAATTTTTCCAAATGACTCTGCAATATCAAAGAAAAAATTATACATTAAACAGGAAAGGTAAAACTAATTCGCTTCATACAAACAAGATTTTTAATCACTACAGTTGTGTTGGACAGCGTGTAATTTAGTTATCGTGCAGTTGAGTAGCAGCTGCTAATAAATATGTTCAGCAGCACGGCGCGGCGGCCCTGTATATATTGCAGAGGGCAGGTCGCCATACAAACATTGCCTCACAAATGGAAGCCCGAGCGGCCGTAAGGTGCGCCCTGGTGGGACTGCTGCTGGCGCTGGGGGTGACGGCCATCGACGACGATATGGCCGAGCTCATCAAGATGGTGCACGACAGTTGCGGGGAAGAAACCGGCGTAGACTTCGGCCTGGTGGACAAAGTGAACGCGGGCGCCGACCTCATGCCCGACCCTAAACTCAAGTGCTACATTAAATGCTTGATGGTGACAGGCGGGATGATGAGTGACGGAGAGGTAGACATAGATGCGGTGCTAACGCTGCTGCCCGAAAATATCGGTAAGAAGAATGAGCCGCTGCTACGAGGCTGTGGCACAAAGAAGGGTGCCGATGACTGTGACACTGCATTCCTCACGCAAGTATGTTGGCAGAATGCCAACAAAGCAGACTATTTTCTTATATAGATTCAAAGGAAATAATTTTTAATGTTTAATTTTTTCAGTTAATTTTAATTGTATAATCATTGTTTGTGTTGTGACTTCTTGATGGAACTTTATTATATTGATTATATATTACTTAAAAACTTTGTAATTTTTTAATTTTATTTTAAATATTTATAAAAAAAGGAATGAATCCAAGTATGTAAGCTGATAAACATTTCGGAAAGAGGAAAACAAACTGTGCCAACCTTCAAATAAATGTGAAAAGGCAGTAATGATGATGATATAAAAATCCTTCTGAAATTAGGTCTTATTATCAAGTTACTTCATTGTTATTCATAAAGTCTAAATTAAATTATTATGTTTACAATGTTTATTTATTGCAACACAAGTTTACAGTCGCAACTTTGTATGCGTGGATTTTGGAAATAGAAAAACCAATGCAATATACCACTTGTATATAGTATATCAAGAAAAAACATATAACAGATTTTAAATTAGACATTCAAGAACAGCAGTAATTGCATACATACATACATTCATATGAACAGATGAAGTGTAATGTTGATGAAAGGCTATAATGGTCTATCATTATAGTCTTTCATCAACATCATCCTCTAGGAAGATCTAAAAAGACATGGATGGATTGTGTGAAAGATAATATGACCAGGACGGCAGTAGATGCAGAAATGACTGCTAGTAGAGGAGAAAAGAATAGGTTAATGGTGGGAAGATGATAAAAAAAAATTTTTGTTTTGAATGATCCAGTATAGTTTTGTCTGCATTATACAACAAAAGGGGATAAAGAGCATAAGCACATCTGTATAAATACAGGAATGTGGATCCATTGCTGAAAGAATATTTTTCAAAATAATCTTATGATAATAGATTTAAGGAGTCGATTACAAAAGTCGATTGCTTGGGTACCTCTGTCCCATTCGTGTTTCAACCGTGAAGCAGTTGTGTTTGCATGGCTGTGTTTCGGTTTGAAGGGTGGAATATGGCGTGAATTTACTGCGTACGGAGGAAAACACCTGAGTCCTCAGGAATGGCAACACATGGGGGTATCATGAGCAAAACAGTATACTCTGTTATGTCCATGGTACTGCTCATATCTATAGGCGATGGTTACCACTTTCCATCAGGTGGGCCATCAGCTTGTTAGCCATTCTAAGTTGTTAAAAAAATTTTTTTGGTTATTCCTTTTATTAAGACTCCTCATATCAAGTTTTCTTAAATACAGATATTATCCCATTACAGTTTTATTATATGAATAATAAATACAATAATATCTATATAGACTACTAGTTTTTACACGTGACTTTGTCCATGATGGGTATATGTTTAGTGATGAATATAAAAAATATAGCCTATATCCTTCTCTGCCCCATATAGTACTTGTATATATTGATTGATTAAGAACAAACAAACAAACTCACATTCACATTTATAATATTAGTAAGAATTTGCGAGAACTCATTAAGTCTCTAATCCTAGACTATTTCTATACATACTAGTGTGGCTCTGTTTTTACTGTCTACTTAAATAATAATACCACATATTATTGAAATGTGGTGAGCAAAATGTGAATATGTATAGTGTTATAATATTTACCATAACAGCCACAGTCAAATGTCTCTAAATACCTTCTTAAGAATTATAATCATAGGCATATTTATTTTTTATACAATTCTTTAGTCATCCTGACTATTAGCAGATGTGATGGTAGACTTTTTATTAGTGGAGTTGTTCCCCATTAGGCACATCCTCTTTGTTAGTATTGGCTGTTGGCGGAGTCACAGCCACTGGGATGAGCATTCTACACCTCATTAGGGAATTCAAGCAGTTTGGTATGAACAGCTTGATAGCTAGATATCCTTTACATATATATATATCTGTGCCTATCCTTTTACTACCTTTTTCATTTGTGTTCTACTACTATTATAAATGCAACAGTTTGTGAAGATGTATGAATGGACAAAATAGACAAAAAAATAGAATACTTGATTTATTGTTATTCAGCCATTAACTGTCCACTGCTAGATATAAGCCTTCCCCATATGGGGAGTTTATTAATAGTTGCCATGCTTGGCAGGCGGGTTGGCAACAGTTAGTCTTTTAGAGCTGTTTTAAGAGGAACGCTGCTACACATCTCTCGCCTCACCCAAATACATATGGCTTATTAATATACATAATAAGACACTCAATTTGCCTGATACTTTTGGTGACTCCATGGTTAAGTCCCCAAATCTGAATCAATTTTCACAATTCTCTTTGCAATTCATAGGATTTACTGCCATGTTGATGTGTACCATATTAACTTGCTGATAATTGAAACTGTCAATTTTTAACTAACCACCAAACCAAATAAAAAAATCATATCTTCATGTTAGAATACTCAGTGTTGTGCATCAGACTCAGTGGGGAGCATGTTAATATTATAATGTATGGCCAAAATACTGAGTAAAATATTATAAAAAATAATAATACATATTGAAATAACCTTGAGATACATGTATTAGATTATTTTGTTGATACGCACATAACAGATAGTACAAATGATGAGAATGTATTGAATTTTTGCAATACCCTGATAATTCTTGTTACCGACAGATAATTTACCTAAAAAACAACAAATGACTCAACAATCATTTGTTGTTTATTATATTGCATGCTCATAGTATTTAGTATCAATATACCAAATGCAATGAGTATGTATTACAATTAAATTATTATTATAATTTCATGGCATTGAAGAAAAAAATATATGCAATATAGCAACTCTTTCCTGTTACCTGTTAACTGCATAAATTAAAAAACATGATATTCAATATTTGCATGTAGTAACAGTATATGGTCTGCCACACTAAAACTATCCATTACACAAGATTCAGACTAGAAATACAACTTTCCATTCAATCAAACTATTCTAATTTTGGAAGGAATCACCTGTTATTCAAAAGCAAACCAGAGAAAACTTTGTTGATGAAAATAGGTGCATAATTATAAATATTACAATTCAGTGAAATAGCATTCAATCTTAGATTTTAATGTAATAAAACATTCGTTAACGAGAAAACGTTAGATATTTGTCAATCTTGAGACGGAGAGGTTTTTTTATATAATCGGAGGCAAATTATGGCGTAATAGGCCAGCCGACAGAACTGTCAACCGACTTGATAGGTTAGATTTTCTTATAAGAATAGTTTGCTCGCAGTTAAATTATGTAAATAAAAATCAAGCATGGTTCACCTTTACGGAGTCGAGTGGATACATTATGCAATGCTCCATCACCCCCGCAATTGCTCCGGCGGTCATATGTGTGGTGAAGTTTTGGGTAGTCGGAAGGGTTTCATAGTCGTCAAAGTTCATAATACTCAATAAATACTGACACTTAGCACAAGTTTAACACAAAATTGAGTTTCTAAGAAAGGGTTTATTTTTGTTTCATCGAAGTAATAATATCATTTTCACTACACTATTTTCGTCACAAGTCATCCGAAATTTAGAACAATCAAAATTAATTCCATACGTGCGACTTGCGAGCACGCGAGACTATATGCTGCAATTTATTGTCACTTTTGACATGACAGCACGTACAGATAAGCAATTTTTTTATATCGCATTATCATTTCGACATGGTCTTCTTCACAGATAAAGAATTTGAAATCTATCTAAGTAAAATAAAAGAGGTACTCACATAGATTAAGAATAATGCCTACTCATAGATAACTAAATAGAAAAGTTAAATTATAGACATATGTCTTTGAAATAAATAAAGTTGATTAGAATAGAATGTTATTCCTTGTTCTTAGCAAAGATTTCGAAATAAAAGTGCTTAATAATAGTAGTATCAATTTATCCACAAAGGGATAGGCAAAGGAACTAAGCCATAGCCTGATCTTCACCTTTGCTTAGTACACATTAATGGCTCTGTTTTTTTTTTTTAATTTAGTTGCAAATATAAACGATATTTACAAACAAAATAAGATGGGTATTATTTATTACAACAATAATATTTTTTTATAATTTTGTAACATTCTTATCTTTTATTTGCATATGGGGTCAGTTAAGTTGTTGCACGTCGACCTATTGGAATCTTTTGTGCTTCTCTCTGCCTTATACTATCATTCTGTGGATTCCATATATTATCTTTGCAATATCCCGCGGTTTAAGGTATTTAAAATCTTCTGACTCTGAAATACTCTGAATATGCTCAATAGACTCATATGCATACTTATCGACGACTCACAGTTGCACATCAAGTACTCCATGGATCCCGAATCCTCACTGCACAATCTGCACAGTGTGTTCGAAGATAGATCCACCTTATATAATATATGCCTTACTGGTATATGTCCAGTCAAAGCACCCATTATGAGTTTAGTCTATTTTTTGCCACTACTGTAGATGAATTTATCCCATCCCTCAGCCTTGTCGTTTAAGAACTTTTTATAAAGCTTGAAACCCTTCAATTTTCTTAATTCCTCTTACTGTTTTATTTTCGCATATTGTTCAAGGGCATAGTTAACGACGCTTTATACAAGTGCGACATATGGGTCCAGATTTATATATTTTTTATTCTGGTCCCCTTCTCGTCAATTCATTGGTCTTTTCATTATCTTTAATCCCTATATTAGTTAGATACATACAAAAATACTATGAATTAAGTACGAAGAACTACATGTCTGCCAATATTTGATGCAAGCACACCTGGTGATGCAGATGATATTTAATCTCTTTCCACTGCATATAATAATTTAAAAGGAGGCAAGAAAGGCCCTTCATAGATTTCAGAAGGCAGAAGTATGGAACAGATGGAATTTAATGTTCGCATTATAGTGCGTTATAACCGCGTAGAAATAGTTTTAGGCACATCAAAACAGAGTGATGCACTGTTCTTTTTCCCTGGCAACAGCGGGAATTCGACAGTTAAATAGAAATGTATAAAATGGTGGCTGCCACTTAAAGGGATATTATAACAGTTAAGGTTGATCCCATCCCTAGTTACCGCGCCCCCCGCACTGATACCGCCACGCACATACAGTCAGTCGTCCGCTCCGCCCTGCGGCTTACCATGTGCACGCGCTCACGCGCGCACGAGTTCCCCGTAAGAGGTCGGCTACAATATGCTTTCATTATCTATATCAGCATTCTTCTTTAAACAGTACAGTATTTGCACTTGCTGTCACTAGACATTTTAAGTCTGCCGAGATGAGCTGAGACTAAACAATATCCAAAATGTAGGCAATTGATGGTCGTGATAAGGTTCCTGCTGTAGCATTTGTAGTAGTGGTTCTCAAACAAATTTTCAACTTGACCCTAATTACCAGTATTGTACCAGTACAATCCAATTTCTTTTATTAACAAAATTTTTTTTACTACAAATCTATGTACTATATTCTATTTTCAATATACGTTACATTTTCCGTTTCTTTTAATTTCTTAAAGAATAATATTCTTAGAAGTTTAAACTGTACCTACGTTATTTTTGTCTTCACTAATTTTGAACCTATTTTGATAATTATTTTGGTATCGATTGGTTCCCTCCGTAGTAGCTTTTTAGTTTTTTTTTTGTTTGTAGGTACAGTTTGTGCTCATGCTAAACCTGGCCAGGTTGATTGTAAATTATAATTAGTGACATGTATCACAACTTGATATTTATCACAAAATGATCTTATTACAGCTAGTAATGAGCGTGACTGACGAGTGACGATAATAGTTAGTGGCTGGCAATATTTAATCTTGGGATTTAATGTGAATATAACTTACTCAATCACAATCTCAATAGGTAATCAGCAGGTTACTCGTTTCTTGGGGTTTGAATTCATCTTTTTATTCTAATGAACTCTTTGTACTGCAAAGCGGTTATAATTGTAATTTATGTATTATGCCGTAAGTACATTATAGGATTTTTTTAAATTACCTACTGGGTATACTCTTTCTATGTAAAGTTCAAACAATTTTGTCTAAGCAACATAAACATTGCTCTTGGTCAATATTAATTGAAACTTCGAAGGTTGATGTTTTCAACTGTATTTTTGTGTTACACGATATTTTTTTATATCTTTTTTAACATATAGCACAGGGGGCAAACGAGCATTCGGCTCATTTGATGGCTGCTGGTGACTATCACCGCTCAGGAGGACCAGCAACTCTGGAGAAATATACTGTTTTTTAATCGAATTCGATTATTCTTTTTCATTAATAGAGAACTTGATACTGTTTAGGCAGTGGCGTAACAATAGATTAGAAGAAATAAAATGCCACGAGCCCCGGCCCGGCCTGAGTGGGCTTCTAGCCCATAATAAAATAACTTTCGTTTTTTTTGTACATAAAGAGATAGCCTCATCCGATTAATTTACCACGGACCTCAGACGGTATAGTTACGCTCATAGACTTAGTATAACATACTCATATATGTTACGCCATGGTATTTAGATATTCCGATTGTGGTCATTTATCAATGGAGTCGTTTTCTGTAAAACTAGATTAAATGTTCTTATTGTCTTCCATTTTGTTCATCACTGGAATCCCAGTATTGTTAATAATAATACGGATATAAACATACTTTTTATTACTTGTTATTTAGGAGTGTTTCCGGCGACGAGCAGCGACAGCGCCGCCGAGCAATACTCCCTCTTCCCACACCCGAGCACCACGTTTGAGATAATGACATTCGACCAAGTTCTACGTGGCAGCTACAACACAACGGCCTGCGTTAAAGAGTATATGAATTGTATGGAAGTTATAAAGTACGTACCTGCTTTATACTTAACGTAAAATTAAGGGGGGATGGAATTGTTAGTTTGCTAGTAGACTAGTTGTTGCTGGCAATGTACCCTGTCAGGTCGACCTCCACGTGGTCCCCCTGGAAACCATTGTGTTAAATTCCAAGTGTATTCATCACGATGGGCTAAGTGACCTGCCTTTTAACTCTTACCTATCACCCCTCACTGGTGCCCCGTCAGCGTATACCGTTAGTGCAGGCGGGGTTACCATTCCATTATCATCTATAAAAATAGTAAAATTATATATTCGGAATCATTAAATCTTAGACTACTGTACTTATAAGATTATTCACCAAGTGGTCAGGCGTCGAATCCAAATACTATTGGAAAAATTTGGAAAACTACAATGTTTATTAATGTGCATTAATGAAAATGTGCTTTGTTGACAGAGCGGACTTAATATGTTTAGATGGCAGACTACAGAACTCTGTTTGCGCCCATATACGAGATACGTGCACACAATATGCGGGTCAAAATTTTGGTAAGAACGCCTTGGACTTGTCGAAATATACTCATATTGTTTTGATATTAGCACTAACGACTGATGGATTTTTCATAAATAAGAAAAAGTTGTAGGTATACATCACGATTTTTTGTAATTAATAAAAATAAATAATAACAAATTTACTAAACCAATTCTGATAAAACATACACCAAATTCCAAAACTTATAAGTACTCACCTACTCGATGATATAACATTTTAATTATTTTTTATTACAAACACAGAGACTCACATTGTAGTAGGCAGCACTAACTATATGTTGAACAAAGAGACAGAAATTGTAGAAAATTTGGTATTTACATAGACGTAAAAAAAGTATATCCAACTCTTAAGAAAAGAATAATTCAATGTAGCGTTCGACTCTTAAGATGATTTTCCAACAGATCTAAAAAAAGGAGGAGGTTTGAAATTCAGTTATTTTTTTCTACATTTGTCACTTCATAACTCCGTCGTTTCTATTCGGAAAACTCTTTTTTAATCTGTAGTAATACTTTCAAATTGATCGCATAGAAATATTATCAAAAGCGGTTCAGTAATTTATTTTGAAATCATACCATCTGATCCTGACAGTATTGAAGTCAGTGTTTTTTGTGAAGCAATATCTCAAATTATTGATTATAAATAAAATGTATTATTTTCAGATCGCGAATTACATATTTTCGAATCGGTGTGCGAAACTCCAGATGCCACCTAATTTAATGTCGCTGTCCAAGTCCAAGCAACGTACTCTAACAATTAGAGTATTCATCGTCGAACAACAGCCGGCTCGGGCTGACGGATCATGTATTTATATTACGTGTAACGTAGCCATATAAATATTATTTTAATCGTAATATATCTTTATTTTTGTTTGTAATGTATGTAATTATGTACACAGTACGCACTGGGTGATCACGTTTCTATTCGCCATACAGTTGCGCTTGCACGACTGTTTTAGTTTGAAGGATACAGTAACCACAGGAGTTACTACTTTTAATTAGATACTTATGGTTTTTAAAGCTTACGTCCATATTTATAAATATATTTATATTATTACATGTATCACATCTCCATATTTAGAACTAACAGAATTTTTCATCGTGCCTCCCAACAAATTGTTTATAATTACTTCTCTCCATCCAAAGGTTTGGAAGAGATCGCTTTTAGCGATAACGTCGCCCGATGTTTTCTCATTGTGATTATTTCTTGTAATTGTTTATATCTAGAATAAGCTTACTGTTATAATCTTTTGGAGGAAACAACGAGTATCTATCTATCCATGTCAATTTTTATTCGATGTCTGTGTAAATAAGGGAAATTAATGAACAAGGTGAGACGCTGTGACGTAAAGCGCTAAACGCCCCCTGAAGAAGGCTTCCGGATGGAGTCAAAACAGTTGTCCGAAACGACGAAAACACAATGAGTTCATTAGTCTCTCGTTATTACATAGACATCAGGTGACTATTGTATTTCACTTGTATTTTCTAATTTGTTATTTGTATATGTTTATGTTTTTGGTGCAATAAGGTGTTATATACTGTGCACATGGATTGTACTGTAAACAAGGGTTGTAACGTAAAAATCCTGATCATTAACTGACTTCAAAAAAGTAGGAGATTAAATATTGTTTATAAATATTGTTAACGCATGTAAGTACTCATTTATATTTGAATTAGAAATAAATGAAAACACAATTAATCGGAAATGCAAGTTTTATTACTTTAAAAGCATAATTTCCATTTTAAATCCTCGAATAAAATACCTCTCACTTGACACTTCCAAATCCGTGAAGATAATAAAATTATAAATATATATTAAAATTATATTAGGTATCTGAAATGATCGGGCGCGTCAGGGTTGCCAGATTGGGTATTTCTTTCGTAATTTTAAGTAAAAAAATTCTGTTCGCGAAATTTTATAGAAAATTTTGGGCAAAAATTAAATAGACTTGGAAAAATTTGCATAATTTATTGTAAAGTTTTAGTATTTACTGGTAAAGTGTATAGAAGTATATAAATGCAGTAAAATATATGAATAGCAATAGAGAAACAAAAGATGAGATTAGAGAAGGAGAAAAGAAGGTAAAAGTAGAAAAACGTGGTGGCCTGTTTTGGTCGTTCAATTTATGGCACATGGCAAAACGTAGTGTACAACAACGATAAAAGTTTATTATTGCATCATAATCTTGGAAATCGTATCGATTTGGAGACAGATATTTGTCGTTAGGGTAAAAATGTAAAGTCGTATCTGGCAACCGTGGGGCGCATGCATGTTACGACACAGTACGGCAGTGTAGCTGCAGGCACGCCCCGCCCCGCGCCACGCCGGCCGTACACCACACATACACATTAATATAAGCGTTATTACAAAATAAACTCTATATACATGTACATAATTACAGTAAGTATACATTATATAGTTCAGTGCGTCCGTACAGGCGGCTAGCGCACCCGTGTACGAGTACGTATGCAAGCCGGCGTTCACTACCGTGCGCTGTCTACTTACTACACGTACTAAGCTATCGAGCCATGTTGCACTCGCGCTCCACTCCACGTCGCCCATCTCTACATCATGTCTATTAGCTGCCATTCGTATGAACTATGGCCATGCACAGCGATCCCATTCATAGTATCTCCTTTTAGTTTTACCAAATGAAATGGTTCATGAGCGAGCGAGCGCTGGTGTCGACGACGACACCCGCCGGCCGCGCTCCAGCGCTTCGAGTGCGAATGAAACATTCATAAAGTTGTAATAGACTCGTGGACCGTCCAACTCGTACTTTACGTACAATAACATATTATAATTAAATATACAAACAAGTATATGACGATATTCAATATCGTATTATGTTTAGTTGTAGAAGAGTGTTGGACAATGGAGTCGTTATCAATAGAAGGCGAAGGATACGATTCATTGGATAGTTGTATTGAAATATAATGAACATTATTTGACATGTAATGGAAGCGGGCGGTGCAACGATGCAGCGGCCCGGGCCGCCGCCGCCGCCGCCGCCACCGCTGCTGTTGGTAACATATTAGGCATCTCAATTGATTGTAAGCTATCTAACCTTACCTTACCTTATCCACTATTCAAATAGCGTAAGCCGTCACATATTTAATAAAAAATCCTATATAATTTCATAATCAACTACATTGCAAACGAAAATGTTACCTGCCTAGAATAAAATTAAAAACAATGATGTAATTCCCGTTCGCACGAGGCGAGTCGACGCATGCGCACAAACATACGCGCATACACACGCAGGCACGCACACACACACACACACACACACACACACACACACACACACACACACACACACACACACACATACTGATCGCAAACGTACACAAACGCATTTATTCACAGTCTAGGAACATCACATGTGTTGGTAATAACAGACATGGTGAGGGTTACTACATCGACAAATAAGTAAACTATAGGGTTGTAGCGACCGCGTACATCCGACACACGGCCAGCAATAGCCACGCAATAGTGCCCACCCACCCACCGGGAGACACGTCGACAACTTAGATAAACTGCTGGGAGGCGTAAAAAGGGATACTTAAAAGAATTGATAACGTGCGACACTAACTGACGAGACTTAGGGCTACTCATAACGTCGGCGGTGTAGACGCAGCGGCCCGCGCTGCGGACGTGCGCGATACACTCACAGCGGCTTTGAGACATTGCATTAATTAACACTGACACCTAGCACCTTTTTAAATGTATACATTTACAATCAATATATAAAAAAATCGAAAATCGACACGAGCGTAGTACTGAGCGGCGGTGCCGTCGCACGAGACCCTCTCAGCGTAACTTTTATCCACACGGGCCCGCGTCCCACGGCCCACCCGTGAACAGAGCTACACTTGCCAGCTACCTGCTATTATACACGGCGACAAAGTCATTATCCCAACTTAATACCTAAAGCAAATAATGCGTCTTATACATCGTAATATATTTGGTTATCACTAAAACAAAGTGGTACACGCGCTCACACCGATCACAATATATATATTATATAATTTATCAAAACAAGGCATCGGCCAGTTCTATGAACTCTCCCTACACGACACGCACGCACGCACGCACGCACGCACACACACACGCACGCACGGTAATTATAATAAAAATTATTATGCGAATAGGTATTAATATCATCACTATATTACTTAAACTAAATAAAAATGCGTCGCGCTCGCTGCGGCTGCGAGCGAGTACAGCGCTGACGAGGACTTACGCGAGACACTAGCGGCGCACTGACTCGTGTGCGACAGTCACTAATGTGGCCGCAGTCGCAGTACAACATGCGAGACACAGCGCGGCGCGCGGGGATACACATTCACTCATAAATAATAGTATCCACGCACACATGCACACGACGCCCCGCGCCCCGCGCCCCGCGCCCCGCGCCCCGCGCCCTCACACCTAACACCCTCGCTAGCCCCGCCGACAGCTGTATTACAAAATACAATCAGTATATACCACAATATCATTATTTTTGACATAAATAAACTCAAAATGCGATCCAAAATAAGAATAGGAACGTGGCTGGCTTCACAACACTTTAAAAGAAAGGAAAATTAATTCTGTACACACAACTACGGAGAGGTTTGCCGCTTTGTTTTCCAGGTAGCAATTATTCGTCATATCGACGTTGATTTTATTTCAGTCACCAACTCTAAAATGTTTTAAAACTGACATCTTATTTGAGGCGCAGACATATTCAACAAGATAATAGTAATAGTTCATTTTTTCGTTACAAAATTTAATATGATACCCCCTAGACGAGAACAATCCGTGCCTCGATATTAAAATACTGACATTGTAAAGTGTACTCCACGTATTAGAGACAGAGGGGGTGGGGGAGATAAATTACTACTATTGAGAGGTAAGCCGTCATAATTAATCAGGCCTATTCTTATCTTGGTCACCGTATAGTAGCTACTTTTATTAATATACAGCTATATTGCGAATGTCTGGTCGTCGAGGCGGCTGTGGTGGCGGTGGTGGTGGTGGTGGTGGCGGCAAGACCTAGAAGAGCCTGGCGCGCCGCTTGAGCTCGTTGCGGCGCCACTGCGGCAGCCGGTAGAACTCCGGCCGCGTCGTCTGCAGGATCGCCTCGAACTCCGCGTCCGACAAGTGGCGCTGTCGACAACGGTAATGCATTTCACGATCAACTCATTACATACAATTTAAAGAACGATTAAAAATGTATTTTTTTTTTAATCATGTTTATTCAAATAAACTTGTTTAAGAGTACTTTAGAAAGAAATAGACCAAAAATAGAAATGGCCAAAGAATAGATCCTTGAGGTACACCCCATTCGCACAAGTGACCCATTAGATATAACACTATTTAATTCAACTTTTTTAATTCTGTTTGATAAATAGGACTTGATTAAGTTTAAAGCATTGTCTTTGACACTGTAAAAGCCAGTTTTTTCGGCAATGTACTATGATCTACACAATCGAAGGCTTTAGATAGGTCACAAAAAACTCCACACCTGCATTACGGATGCAGATGAACGCCTTTTACTATATCCAAATTGACTATTATGAATTAATTAATTTAAAATAAGTAACTAACTGATTAAACATAATTTTTTTAAAGATTTTACTTAATGCGGGAAGAATGGAAATGGGCCTATAATTTACTGGATCACTTTTAATTCCATCTTTAAAAAGCAGTATAATTTTACTAAATTTCATTACATTAGGAAACTTACCGTCAACTGTATAATTATTAAAAATAAAAGCAATAGACAATGTAATAGTTTCAATTATACTACTAAGTATTTTAATAGATATACCCCATAAGTTCTCAATTTTTTTTTATTATTATTAAGCGATTTAAATGTTATTATATGCCAACATTTTCTGTTAGTAAAGCGTCAGTCACAGATGCGCAAGAGTTTAAAGATCGAGTTGTTGCAAATGGTATATTAGTGAAAAAAGATTCTAAAATCTTGGAAACTTTGATGTCAGTATTAATTAATTGATTATTAATATTTTGTTCAAACAATGTGATTTACCTGATCGATTTAGTATGAAAGGTAAAAATAGTCGGTCGATCTCTTAGCCTCCTACAGGTAGAGTGGACACATTATGGAGGGGTGTAAGTAGGAGCGAGTGTGGTAGAGTAGTATAGGTGTACCTCGAGGTTGAGGCGGTCGACGTCGGGCGGCAGGCGGTAGTTGGTGATGAGCAGCAGGTGGTATGGGTAGAGCTTGGCGGGCTCGTGCAGCAGGTGCGACGTGGCCATGTTGGGCAGCGAGCGGCGCACGCCGGCGCGAGGACCCAGCCCCGGCGCCGCGCCGCCCGCGCCGACCACGCCGCCCGCGCCGCCCGCCGGGCCGGTCGCCGCGCTGCCGCCGCGCACCGCCATGCCCTCCGTCGTCTGTGCACCGGACACGGACAGGGTTACGGGCGGCCCGCACTGGCCCGCCAGATATGGCGTCGCCAGCGTGAGCTAAACTCATACTCCTGACGACGACCAACTGTGCTTGCACAGCTATGTTTCGGTGAGGGGTGGTACGAAAACAAAGCAACATCCTAATCTTCAGGATTAACACCGCATACGTAAGTGATACCATAGACGTTGCAGTGTTTTAATGCAGACGCAGATGTCCAATAAATGAAGGTTACTATTTTGCATCAGATAGGCCATCAACCCAAAAAAAATATTTTCGGAAATCTCGAAATCTTCCATTTAATTATAAAAAAAATTTTTTTGATCAATCATTTACTAAGACTGCGCATTCTGCTAAATAACTTGCATGCATGCTATGTTGAAATCTAATCCTATTTGAAACAATGTATTCAGATTTTCAAAACATACAGTAAATCAAAATCTTTATTTCACAAGAAGTGACACAGTACAAGTACCTTCTGTAGAATAGAAATTTAAAGTTTCAAATATCCAAAGGCAATCAAGTAGGTCAGTAACTCACCACAGCACTCCTGTCCACGTCTGTAATGGAGCCGGCAGATACTGGGAAAAGAACACGTCATATATTACAAGTGGATACACGATTACATAGTTTACGCAAGACGTACATGTATATGAATGGAGACAGTTTAGGGTCTAAGCTAAGCAAATAGGTAGATATACCATGCTGCGAACTGCGAGGCCGTCGCTACGGTGGACGTGGCACATGTGAGTGGCATGGGCATGAGAGCCTACCGACACTAGGCTGGCATGTGGAATGGGGGGAGAGAGGTGAGGTTGATTATGAACAATTTAAAATCATAAAAAAATATTAGTTTGGATAGATATGTAGGCAAAATAACCGAAATAATGGAAGGCAGGTCTACGTGACGAGAAGTACTGATAAGTACCTATTCTACCGAGCTTAAAACCTGCCTTCGAGAAGCTCGCTTAAACATGAAATACAAAGGGGACGTTCAAGTATTATGTGACGCAATTTTGAAGATTTATGACCCTCCCTCCCCCATGTAACCCCCCTCCCTATACTTTATGTAACACACATGTGACCATTTTTACTTATAAGTCACTATATTAACGAATACTGACAACGAAAAAAAAATGACGTACAATACAGTCTAGGGATTCCCCGTAAAACACGACAGAGTTGTCAATTTGGGAGAATAAAATAAAAATTACCTAGGTACAATATAATCAAGGGATTTCCCGTAAAACATAAGCAAAGAGTTGCCAACTTAGATTTTAATTTCCTACTTTTTTATTTAAATAAATTCAAAAACGCACAATGTTAAGTAAGCCTTTTTTCGAATTCCCCCTTCCGTCCTTGTAATACATCGTAACGTTTTATAGGAGCCGTCCCCCCCCCAAAATTGAGTTACCTAATACTTGAACACCCCTTAATATCGGCCGAGAACCTCGTGCGCGGCACTGCCAGCGCTTACACAACGTGCGGGCGACGGCGGGGAAGTATAGACGGCCGGTGTCCATAAAATAAGCTCTAAGGCCATCTGCGGCCAACAGCATTAGAAGAGTTAATAAAATCTGTCTTACATTTGCCACGCTATAGTAATGCCGTGCATGAATCAAATTTTTTGTTACGCAAAGTTTTTAAATATTTTCCTGTACTAAGTGTTATCTTGCGGAAGTCCATATCACTGGTTATTTGAATAGAATTGTTTAATTCCGTTACCATTACTTTTTAAATTTTACCACATTTCTTTGGCGAAACTTTTTATTGGACGGGGAAGAAAGTATAAAATAGGTAAAGTATAAATAAGGTATTCTAAAAATGCTTAAGAATTTCTGTACTAATTTCAGATTTAAGATTTTGTGATTAGACAGTGACTGGTACTTCATTGCTTTACAATTATTTTAGATGATCCTGACTACGGTTAAACAATCTAGTCAAATCAATTAATATTCTATACGAGTGGTCTATGTTACTAAACACGATTAAAGGACCTAGTCCACAGTACGCTACTGGTAGATATCAATAAAACGAAGGTACTCGTGTTTAAGAAGGAACTTGTGATAAGTACTCGATCGTAGTAAAGACTTTGTTATTACATGAACGTATATATAAACTTATTTGTACCAATAATGTGTGAACTAATAAGATATACAGGATATAAAAACAAACATATGTTCACTTTTAGGGGCAACAGCAACAGAAAAGATAATTCCACACGTAACGACACGCGCGAAAAATAAACAAGTGGTCAATATATATACTCGTTTACAGTAAAAACGGAGTTTAGACGATAATTAAAATGTAGAAGCCGACGCCCGTTATAGAAGCATATTGTTTGTCCGTATAAGTCGGTAGCGGGGTGGCGTGAGTCGCGTACGAGCGTCCGGCGGCGGTCGCGTGCGAGCTACGCGTGCGGCTGCGACGCAAGCGAAGCGCTCTACTTACCGCACAGATCCGTCCGCACTGAGCGCACGAAACCAACAACAGAAGCCTGTCAGATGACTCGCTCCAACCCAACTACATCACAACCACAACACACCGAAATACGCCATCTGTGTTCGTACATCGACTGAACACAGCTATCAAGGGAAATATATATTTTAGTTCTGTTTAATGAATTCTGTTACGTTCGTAAACATCGTAATCAACAATATAAATTATTATGTTTCCCATCACTCGAGAAATCACGCAAGTTTCTTTGCGAGGCCCCTGAAATCCTCTTTACATTTCGTGCACCATTTACATAAGAGTATTCATTACTAAATAATTAACGCTATATAGGTGAAGGTTTAAACAGAACAACAAGATATCATATATGTTTATTTAAATACATTCCCAACAATTATTATAACTTTGGGGGTTTCTATGTAAATAATGACTAGAAACCATAATATACAGGTATTTTGTATGTATTTGTCATGATGAAATAGTCCGGACGTAACGTTTCTCTTAACCAATTGGTAGACAGACTTCACTACAATTTGTCAGTCCGTTATTTTTGCAACATTTAATATACTACCCTAGTTAACATAACTGCTTGTATTTATACATCTATACTTATTATTCCTTGAATGCGTAAGGGTTGTGGCGTGTACGTATGCGTGTTGTGTTAATACAAAATAACGATACTCACTGTCTGACTTGCCGCTACTGAAGTCGGTGCTGTGCGTTTTGTCGCCCATCCCGCTGAATGTGAAGTCGCCCTGTTCACGTACCACACACATTTATCAATTTATGAACAATACAATGGTAAAAAATGTGCTTTTATAACATGTAAACATAGTGGTGCTTTAATATTCTCTTAATAAAAAATAATTCTTCAATATTTCATTAATATGTATGTACAAAAACAGCATGCTTTATTATTAAAAAATATATATATATATAACTGTTATAAAATAAATAGGTTGAACCACGTTCAACTGTGTCGTAATCTCCCCTACTATTGATGCAAAATTTACAACTTAATTTACATGTTCATATGTATGTATATTTTATCGAATTCTACATAATATCTCTATGTGGGGAACATGTATGTACATAATTATTATAATTATATATACATACCTGATAAAACACACGCACAAGTAGACGATCGTACCTACCTCTTTAGTAACAATCGGACTTGACGAACCCAGCTTCAGAGGTGTGCTACGATAGTTCAAATATTGTATTAACTCTCTAACATCAGAGTTGTTAAGTAATACATATAATACAGTAATAATAGCGCCGGCTCATTCGCTTCAGTTCGTCAATGTTCGACGCCAAGAGAAACTTTATTAAACATTATTACATTTTAAACTTTAAACAAACAGAAACTGCATTAGTTTTGAATATTATAGAGAACTCGTGTTGTTTTGATAAATATTAAATTTTATGAAAAATATTCAGTAAATGATTGATTTTGTTTGGAGTATTGTGTTTTTAATATTAATATACTGCTGCTGTGTGTGATACCGCGGCTTCGCCCACGTCAATCAGTACATAAGGTACCCTATGTACTAAGTTAAGATATAATCTACCTGTGTACCAAATTTCATTCAAATACATTCAGTAGTTTTTAAGAGAAAGAGTAACTATCCATCCATCTTCACAATTTTTCACATTGACAATATTAATAGGATAGTAATCATCTTCCTGCTCTCACCCCAATTATTATTTGTGGTCGACGTAATATCTTTTTCTCTTCCACTTTTCTCTATCCGTAGTTATTCCCGCTTTCATTCCCACTCTACCCATATTACCATTCAGATAAACCGTTCATCATCATATTATATCAGCCCTTAAACGTTCACTGTTGAACATGAGCCATCCCTTTGGGGGGTTTTGCCAGTAGTTGTGATGTTTGGTTGGCAGGCGGATTCGCAACCGCAGTCAGGTTTTAAAGATGTTTTAAGAGTGACGCTGCTACCCATCCCTCGCCCTCCCTTAGTCACCACTTACGATAGCCACGGGAAAGGAAGGGTTGACCTAGTCTATGCCGGAACCACATGGTCAATCCATCCATGGTTGGAAGTAAATGATTAAACGGTCACATACATATTTATAACAATCTAGGTATAACGACTGCTTTTGTACAAAATGTATATAAATATATAAAATGAGTCGTGCTGCTGGATCTGCTTGTAGATATGGTGGTTTTAGTTGTTAGTTGTTAATAATTTAATAATAGATGTAAACTGTATATATATTTCTCCGTACTTATTGTTATAAATGTATCAATATATGCTGTGTTTGTCTATAAAAAATTGTTACACTTAGTTCTTAGCACCATAATTGTATAAATATTTGCACTATGTTGTGGAAACAATTGTTAGTGAACCTAAATTAATAAACTGTCTGTCATCACAAAAAAGTGGATGTTTCATATGACAATACATATAGCCGGGTGTACGAGTATTTAAAAAGTGCATCGTTTCTCGTGGCGTCGGAATACGGCTCGGTGATTACATGTCTGTAACACAACACTACCTGACTGGAACACGACCACATCTACAATAGTGGCATTCACCAGGAGACGATCACAGAGACAAGCACAACAGAAGCGGGGACAGCTTGTGGACGAGCGAGGGAGCGGGGGGGGGGGGAGAGGAGGAGCTGTTTACATTAGTTTACACTTACCTACAATATACACATTAACACTAGGCAACTAACATGTCACCTGCAGTTTGAAGGCCAGAGTTAACGTGCCGGTGCGGGGCCGATTAATGACCAGGCCCTCTAGACAAGTGGCAAGCAATTCATCGATGGAATCGACGTCGTTAGCGAGTTCGTGAGTTAGAATCAGTCATCCGCCACTGCTAACTCATTCGGCTTCACGGACTCGCTAGCGATGTCGATTCCGTTGACCAATTCGCCTGCCACTTGTCTAGAGGGCCAGTTGGGTTAGTTCATGAAATTACGCTTTTAAATTTATTAAAATTTAGGTATTTTACATTATATTATTGTCATAGATGGTCCTTGACAGCTTTGTAGTGTTTGACATTTTTTTTAAATTTATTTAAAAAAATAATATTAAATATTCATAAAAGAAACATGATAAATTTTATTATTGCCGACTGTAGTAACAATACTTTTTACAAATAAAAAAGAATGTTTAATTAGCTACAGGCTATACAAATTGTATTTTTTTCTTTCATATCATCAGGTGGAATTTGTGAATAAAGCATGAGTGGGAATGTACATGTAATCGTAGATAGTATATTTGAGGATGACAGTAAGCAGCGGATTGCTATGCGCATGCGATTAAAATAGGATCAATGTCCCAATATGTGTGTGTGTGTGCGCGTGTACTCACGGCGGTGCTGGAGGAGAAGGTGTGCGAGCGGTTGGCGAGCCCGTAGCCCGGGCGCGGCACCGCGCGCAGCGACGACACCACTGCAACATGTACACCTGAGCGTGTGGCCGTGGCGACCTACCTAGCGGCGGGTGGTGGCGGGTGGTGGCGGGTGGTGGCGGGTGGTGGCGGGGGAGGCGGTACTCACGTGGCAGGCGCGGCGCGGCACGCCGGCGGGCAGCGTGCTGGCGCGCAGCCCGCGCTCGGCCCGCGGCGCCGCCGGGCCCGCTGCGACACAACGCACCGCACGCGATACTCACCACGCACGCTTCACTACTACAAGCACCGCGCACCGCGCACTTACACCACAGTGTAAACAACGCCACGGTCCCCAGACCTCTTCGGGGGCAATTACGAATACACTGAACTATGACAAGCCACACGGCCAGCTACATTTACACGAGAGGAGAGATACAAAATGTTTAATGTGGGGACCGTAGTTTAAGGCAACCCTAATATGAGATTTAATCTTTAAAGAAACAAAATTGTTATCAATATTGTTTGAGGATACTATAGTGGAACAACGAGAGAATGCTCATAGGATGCTCTTGACATGTTTATATGAGAACAAACTCAAGGAAGGACGAGCATTCGCTCGCTTGGACTGAGGCGTTTTGGTGTTATATAAAACACCAATAAACCTACAAAGAGACCGTAGACCGAAAAATTTGCTAGGGTAGATGAATAAGCGTTGAATCTCGCATCCCATCTCACAGTAGACCTACGCGGAGTTAAAATTTACACTGTGGTTGTACTCGTGACGCTACCGAACTTAAAATTGATAAAGATAGAGCGGGCGAGTAGATAGTTACTGTATAAACCGAAACGGTGCGCAGTGGAAGATGTACAATAAAGGGCACGTCTAAGGACGAGACGCTCTCCTTGATTGTACATTGTGACGATCACATAGCCACCTACATTTAGAAACATACTCGTTGACGAACCATTTAATGACTAAAGTAAAAATACTCTTTGATAGTAGCAATGATTAAAACTATATAAATTTCGGCAAGATCTTCGTTATCTGCACAATTAGTACTGAAATCTCTTTTTCATTTAAGACAGTCAGCAAGCACCTGACTGAAAACTATGAGCAAATCTGTAAATTAGAACAATGAATAAAACTACAGAACATCTCATAGTAATCGTACCTTCCAGAAATTAAGAGAGGACAATTTAATATCTCTGTCGTAACGTCAACGAATCTCTCTCTCTATATATATAAGCAACTATGTGACCGTAACGTAAACATGCATCACATATCATATTGAACACAGTACAGAGCAGCAACACAAAAATAAATATATTCAGATACATAAAAATAGAAGAATTTTCTTAGATAACATTGTAAAGTCTGTTATAAAAGCTAAGCGCTTGTCGGTATGTATTGCCATTTTATTCACTAATCAGGTGTATATATACTAAACTATCATTTCACTTGTATGGAGACTTGGTTGACAGATTGATCAAAGGTACAATGAAAGATTGGACCTAAGGTGGTACCCTGCGGTACTCCTTCACGAAGTGAGTTCGTGGTGTATAAATATCAGCAACATGTATAACTCCGCATGTAGCTTTCATTATAATAATATATGTTCGTATATTACGACTTACAGCTTGATAATTCTTTTCTAAATTATTCCTTGATCAATCTTCATTTCAGTTCTACTATGTGTCCTATAAACATTATCATTTAACTGTTACCTTTTATATACCGTACGTAAATTTCCCATGCATGTTACTGTGTTAGTAACGAAGCGTGAGAGTAGGACTGATGAGCCTCGCAAACAAATTACAATCAATGTAGACTCTTTTAGAAGCGAAAAAAAAATTGTTTGGGCCTTATATGTACATTAACGAAGAGGTATCGACGTCTAGTGTAATAATATAAAAATACTTATATTGCAATAGAACTAAATAATATAAAATAATTATTGAACTTATAATAAACGTAATATTAAGAAGCTTAAAGCGTGTAAACGTGAACACAAACGATTAAAGGCAGAAAAGTGACGCCGCCAACAACACAATTGGCATAATGAACATTAAGAATTTTTATAATAAAAAAATGGAATACAGCACACGACCTGTTGATCAGTGGCCATGAACTTATTATTTGTTGAAGGATTTAACATTGTTTATCTGTTGGCTCAAGCCAAAGGATCAAGCCAAAACAGCTCTATTTGATGTGGCATTCCTGTTATCATGAAATACCCACTGATATCTATCCAGTTTGGAAGGCTGTTGCTGCCAACCGGAGAAGTATTATTATATTTAATCAATAAAGAATATATAAGACAGGTACATTTAGCAACCATTGTACAGTAGCAGGAAGTTGAGTAAGAGATTCATTAAAAACCAGTACTTTAATATTTCTGTTACTTTACATTGACCGTGGACGTGGTCTTTATATAAGTGAACGGTGCGTGCGGCGTCGCGTGCCACAAAGCACAGCAGCAAGCGGAGAGTGCAAGCGTCTCACCTGTCGCGCCGCCGACCTTCCGCGGCCGCCCCGCCCCGCGCCACCCGCAACGGGGTATCGTATAGCTTACCGGCTCAGCACTTCACACTATCATTTCACTCGCGGTACTCTATTGTAGCATTATCAATTATACGACGAACCAGGGCCAGAAATTCAACCGTAATTTATATCATGTAAAATTATCGACACGATTTTTTTTAATTATAATACTACGATGAGAAATGATATTGCAACAGCGCTGAATGTTCAGAATTAAAAAAATAACCGCAATTATTATGCATATGATCTGCAACGAAGGACAAAGCATAGATGTCGCCACGCATCTAACAAAGTAAATATGCGCCGCCTTATGTACGTATGTAGGTATATGACGTGGAGTGCGTCCGGCGCGTAGTACGCATGTACTGCGACAGGCTACAGTATACATCTACGCTCCGTCACTCGTCGCCAGGTCGCACAGCTTCCACTAACCAGGCGCCAGGCAACGTGGTGGGCGCCTTCATATAGTCCATCATCACAAGGCACTCGACGTAATAGAAGAGCAAAATGTATGCAATTACATGAAGACAAATTATATTCTCTGTGACAATAACGTTATGTTTATATAGCGAACGCGCACGGAAAACTATCTTAATTTCACTTTCATATCATAGATAGATAGATACTCTTTATTTTTTCCTCCAAAAGATTACAATAGTAAACTTATTATAAATGTGCCTAGTGCCTAAGCTTACTTCTATGTAAGTACGTATATATACTTCGCGGCTCACACGTATGTTGCATTATCAAAATGATCGGTTAGTGGAAGCAGTGACGACAAGTTAGAATTTGTTATTAGAATTAGAAATAAGTTACAGAATAACATATGAAACTTACGATGTTTCGTTTGTTTGATCTTTATAATGGATCTAGTCTATGCACGAAATAAGTTTAATATGTTATTTAGTAATAGTAATAAGTAAGGTACTCGTTCATAGAGACAATAGATTTGTATTTATAAGAAGTGTGCCAATTAGTTTCTGTTATTTAATAGAAGGAAATCTTAGCGACTAACGTGGGAGTACATGAAATCGACGCGTACATCGTAGCTGCTGTTATTTCTCGCCCAGTTTTAGAAACTGAATCGTTTAATTATATTAATTCCAATAACAGTAATTGTCTTTGGATACACGAGTCGATTTCTGATAGTTTTTCTTAAATATAGAACTTATATTATAATCATAGAAAACCGCGTCGCAGTTCGAATGTGTCGAGAAGCGACACGGAATTCATCTTGTGGAAGTGTTTTATTGTATGTCGTTTTATGAATTTACGTGATATTTACATTATTTCGTAAGTTTGGTCACAGATATTTGTGTGCCATGAGGAATGTTCATTAATTACGTGAAATTAACGTGGGGGTACTTTTTCTAACAATAGGATAGCGATAAGAAAAATTTATTTCACAGAAAAAATATAGTGTATAGAAAAAGTATTGAAATTTATGAAAAGTACCCGGTGGCACGAGTATGAAATAAAGTGCATGAATTTGTCAATAATTTCAATTGTGGAGGGGTAAAATTTGTTTGTTTGTTTGGGTGTTGTTTGTTTGTTTCCAATCAACGGGGAGCGGGGGGAGGACCTCCCATTACATTTCATCAAAAAAGAAAGGGGGATTTCATTTCTCGATCTGTTGTTAAGACTGTATAATCAGGAAGTCGCTGTAGTGTAGTGTAGTGTAGTGTAGTGTGATGTGGTGCGGTGTAGTGTGCAGTGCAGTGCAGTGTATGCGAGCGTACCGTTGTAGGAGGGCTGGTCGTAGTAGCCGGCGGCGGAGAGCGCGGGCCGCGGGTGGTCGAGCGAGCGCGAGGGCGAGGCGCCCACGGGCGACGAGTAGCGCAGCCGGTACGCCGGCTCGCGCGCCGCCGACGGCGTCCTGCGCACAACACAACGACATATCGACACAGTGCTCACGCTCGGACGACCATCTGGCCATCCGGGTAATTTGTGGGAATTTAAATCATTTTCACGAAACGAACGTAATATTTACTGGCGATGTTTCGGCTTTGAAGGGTGAGATATGACTACTATTACAGAGGGAAGACATAACACCTTAATCCTTAGGAATGACAGAGAGAGGTGTCATGGGTGATAAACTATAATCTGGTCATGTCATCATCACCGTTGCTTATAGAAAGCAACGGTTATCACTTTCTATACGATGGGCAGTTAGCTTGTTTTCCATTGTAAGTTCAATAAGAAAATACATTATAACGATCCTTGGACGATTACTAAATATTATAGATAACTAGACAATAATATCTATAAAATATCCAGATCCCAGTAACGCCGTTAGACTTTAGAAGTACAACATTTGTCCCTATCAAATTTCAAATTACTTCAAAAAATGCAAACTTATTTCTATAATTTTTGATCGTTACCTTTCAAAAATTATTAAAATTTCTAGTAACTCAATATATCAACAAACATTTATAGTGACGTTATTATACCTGCTCGCGTTCCTCGGGTCCAAGTTCTGTTTTTTCCACTGCTGCAACTTTTCACGTTCTTTGACATCTTTCAGAATCACCTGAAAAGTATATTTTGCCATGAAAATATATTAAATATTACTTTGCAACAATCAACACTGTCCCAATATATCACCTAGCCATATTGCATTACATATGCCACATATATGCGGACTTTCTAACCACGTGTTTCACCACTATAAAACTGTTAATTCAGATTTTCGTACGCCAGTTGCATGTGTCGTAGTAATGATTCACCTGTTTCAGCATTATCCTCCTTTCCGCAATCAATCCAGCATCCTCCGACGTATACTATATGTATGTTGATACTAATTAATTTAACTTAAAATATGTTACATATATGCGTGGGCAGCGTGTCCTCGCAGCAGCCTACGAGCTGTGCCCGTGGGCTGGTCCGTACCTGCGCGAGTCCGCTGTCGAGCTTGGCCAGCTCCCGCTGCTCGCGCTGCAGGCGCGCATCGGCGGCGTGTCCGTTGGCGACGCCGTTGGTGTCGGGCTCGTCGTCGCTCTCTGGCACGCCCTTGTACGTGTCCGACCACCGCCGCCGCCGTTCTGCCGATAATCATCCACACATTCACCGTCACATCACTGTTTTTCACCCCATATGAACGGTTAACTAATAGTTTTTCAGTTTATTTATAGCAGTATTTGTGCATACTGGCACAACACACCCCATTTATACATTTACTTCATTGGGAAACAGAAAAAAAAAAACTATTTGATTTTCTATTAAATGTAATTTCGTATTTAAAAAAAAAGAAAAAAGTACCTGGATCTGTGTAGGGGTAGGGTGGGGCAGGGAAGTCGTCGCGCTCGATCTTGGGCTTGGTGCCGGGCGGTGGCTTGTACGCAGCCGGGTAGTGTGACAGCTCGATAGGTTCCTGTCAACATGGGCAAGGGTATAGATTATCTGCGTACAAGGCTAGCGGCAGACAGTGGCGGCGACATGGGCCGGGGCGCACCTCGTTGTTCATGTGCGGCGACTTTGGGCGCGGCGTCTCGCTGCGGATGGAGTCGACGAGCGCGCGCATGCCGGGGCGCGAGGACGCCTTGCTGGCGGCGCGCGACGACGGCCGCGTGCCTGAGCCGCCCGACGCGGCCGACGGCGGCCGGTGGAAGTGTGGCGACGTGGGCGGCCGGTCGTATGGCTGTAGCGGCCGCCGCAGGTAGCCCGGCTCGGCCGCCAGGTACGAGTACGTTGTGATGCGGTGCGGGCTGCACTCGCCCGCCGACCGGTACTCGCGCAGCTGCAGCCCCGGCGACACGGCGCGCCCGTACGTGCCGTACTGCCCATACTGTGCACATCACACATGCCTACACTACGTGTTAATAGCAAACTAACATCTTTCTATGAACCGAATAACCGAAATCTAAGAATACTCTTGATTTGACTTTAAACGAAAAATTGGCACGCAAAGTATACACATTTGCATCACCTTTTTATATCCCTATATGTGGAGTATATTACGTAACAATACAATTTCAGACTAAATTTCAAACTGCCCATACTGTGCACATCACACATGCCTACACTACGTGTTAATAGCAAACTAACATCTTTCTATGAACCGAATAACCGAAGTCTAAGAATACTCTTGATTTGACTTTAAACGAAAAATTGGCACGCAAAGTATACACATTTGCATCACCTTTTTATATCCCTATATGTGGAGTATATTACGTAACAATACAATTTCAGACTAAATTTCAAAATTAGCTAAAAATTATACTTCCCAAATAAAATAATCAATAACATTTTCTTTTGTTTGATCTCGAGTTCAACGAATTCTCATCGAACTCATAAATACTTAAACTACAGATTGCACAAATAATTATCATTCTGTTGTTGTTTTCGTTATTTAGACTAATGATTTTTAGCGTAATAAATTGTAAATACTAAATAAAACCTTCAATAAATGTTTAAAAAGCATAACTAAAATACTACTATACTATTTATTGCCAACTTCCTACAAATTTCATCAACTATTATACTTTATCAACAGGTTCACTTTATCTACAACATTTAAATAATGCAGTGCTATAAAATATAAGCAATCAATATAATAAAGAAAAAGATAATATTACAAAAAAATTAATAAAAAGATGTTGTAGACAAAGTTATTAAATTCAGCAAAATACGATCAATAACAAACGGCCATAAAAATATGACCTTCACTCTGATCACAACAAAGCTCAAAATAGTTTGTAATCGAGTATTTCAGTTGTTGACCATACTACAATTAGTCAACACATCCACATGCTGGCTACATGTGCCAAGTAAAACTTACATACAAATACAAGTGAAATTGTTAAGGGGGAAACAAAATTAAAAATATATTAAAAGAAAATAGAAACATGTAAATGTGTCAACTGAAAATAAATATAAAACTATGCACTTGAACACGCTGAGCAGGTGTCAAATATATATATTTTTTTTAAACAAAACTATTAGTCCGGCTCGAAGGATCATAAAACGTAGAATGATAGGCAACACTGACGTGAGTGATACCTAACTGTTAGATTTCTTTGCCAATTGCAAGTCGAGTAACAGTACTCGTAGTACACTAACAGTATCACCTCAAATTGATTGTAAATTATCTTCACGATAATCTGTATCAATATTAATTTCCACATTTATTATTTGAAATGACATAAATTTAACAATTACTTAGCCGAATATTAAATTTACAGTTATCTAAAATTACGATTATAAGATACAAGTAAGCAAAGCTTCACAATTAATTCCATTTAAACTGTAAATATATACATAGATCCTAAATACGACGCGTTCAAGTGCAAGTAAACTTAATAAAACCAAAAAAAAGTGTGTGACGGACCTTCCTGTTGAGGCTACTGTAGGGGCTGCCGTAGGAGCCGTTGACGCTGGGCGTGCGCGAGCGCAGCGAGAACTGCCGGAGTGACGACGGGCGTCAGCGTTACGGCGCACACGCAAACAAACAAGCAAGCAAGCTTGCCACCACTACGCTAGTCCACGCCGCACTCCGAGCGACTACCCAGTGCAAGATGAAATATCGCATGTCCGCAGCGACCACGTTATAAGATTTTTATTTAAAAAAATATTTATAAAAAGGGACTTTTTTTAATTTATCAAAACAAATAAACACACCCCCAGGAACCCTAACAACTGGCTGAACATGATGTCTGATTGTTTATTATTTAGATGAGATCGCTGCGAACTCGGATTTTTACATGGACTAACGTAAATACGATGGCTATTCTACTCTTGGACTTGTTTGTGTTAATTTCATACTACATTGGATTTATGAACGCTTATAAAATTATTAAATAAATACTTGTATTTTAGATCAATACGGTACCATTAAAATAATAATTAAAGTGTTCCAACTAACACAAACAAGTGCAATGACATTGGAGTTATTTCGACACATTAAAACTGTTTCAGTTCATTTCAGTTCACAGACAAGGGCGGACTTTTTTTATTTATTTTTGTTTATTTTCACTTCCTTTTTAGCTCTCTAATAACATATATTTGGCAAACAGTTTTAACGTATGATTGACGATCATGCGCTACACTTGCGCATAAAAGATGGCGCTAGTATTTTGGACCTAAACTTATTAAAAGAAACTACTTACTAAAAAACATACGGGGTAAATTAAACTACATTCATCCACTGACGCCATCTTTTAACAGCAATAATCTAATAATTAACGAACGGCTTCTAAAAATATTGCAAATAAATAAAAAATAACTGAAAATATATAAACAATAGACACACGATGTGAGTACGTAGAGGGACTTCTGATATTCCGTACGCGTAGTCGTAGTCACATCGCTAATTCCTTATTACTAAGATACCAAGTACAAATTATACTACAGTACCATAAGTAACATTATAAAACATCAATTTTAATACGTTACATTTTTTATAATTATTAAGACAGTTCTATAAAGAAACAATTACCTATATGTACTGTGGTATAATATACGAATACTACTGTGCAATACGTCACTGAACATAACAAGTGCAGTGTGCATAGAGGAGCGCTAGTCCAATGCCCACCAACAGGCACACAGACTAAAACGATACTAGTCAAAACAGTTGTACAAAGTAATAGGTGAATGGTATAGTTATTTACCGGCAAGGAACCGAGCAAGTCTAATTGTTGAAACGCATATTATTATATTGAAAAATTGTTGTCGGTTTTTTCGTGCAGACAAATTTGCGACAGTTTAAAGAAATTTATTTCATTGACCGTTTCGTTGTGAATAAGTGCGCACTTAGCGTTTAAATTCTATAGTAATTTTATACTAATGTTTTAAAAACACATAAGTACTTTGATAGTATCATAATAATTATTCATATAAACAACGTTTAATAACAAGAGATGCAAGTGTGTGCGAGTGTATGTGGGTGTGTGCGGGTGTGTGCGGGTGTGTGCGGGTGTGTGCGGTGTGTGCGGTGTGCGGGTGTGTGCGGTGTGTGTGCGGGTGTGTGCGGGTGTGTGCGGTGTGTGCGGGCGGGTGCGTGTGCGTGTGCGCGTGCGGCGGTACCTGCATCTCGGAGGAGGCGCGGTCGAGGCCGAGCGCGAGCGCGAGCGGGTCGTGCGGCGCGGGCCCGCAGCGCGGGTGCCAGATGGCGGCGCCCTGCAGGAACATCTCCTCGCCGTCGCCGAACGGGTCGCCGCACTTGCTGCAGCGTGCGCACGTCGGGTGGAAGTGGTGGTTGTCGCCCGCCTGCATTTTAAACCAGTGATGACAACAGATTGATTAGTAATGTTACATTTCTAATATTATAATTACTACTAGTAATATTTTACAAAGTCAAACTCAAATTTCACTAACAAATACCAGACTGATTTATATTTGGTACTGTGTAAACGAGTAAAAATTAATAAAGAATAAAATTTACTTTAGTTTTCATTTCATTTGCTATTTTAAAAAGCCTGCTGATACTAACGTGCCATTATTAAATGAAGTGAAAATTTAATGTGTAACCATCTCTCTGTCTATCCATTATCAAGTGAAACGAGCTGCAAAATGTACTCGTAGTACATCTTTATACAATAGCATAGCAAATATTTTACTATATTTAGATAATTACGCAGGGGTCAGCGTCATCTAGGAAAAATATGGGCCGATTCGTATTTGGCTATTACATATAGTTGATATGTAATAATTTGAATGCAGCGGCGCGTACGGCGCTACACTTAGAGCCGCCAGTACCGTTAGCGGATACATTATGTATTTACACATGTCGAGCACGCGCACACTTATTATCTAATAATAAACGGCCGCTATGTACGGCCACCGCGCCGACCAATTTTTATTCTTATTAGAACGGCAAATTAGCTGATGTCTCGCACCTGATGAAAAATGGTACTCGTCTATACCTAAACATAAACGATCCTATGGACTCACTACGTATGGTGCGATCAACTAATTTAATTACTAAATAATACTTCGACGATTCTATTTACAGTTTTGTCTATTGCTCGTCATGAATCTAAACACAAAATCTCGAATAAATTAATTCTCCAAAAAAAATCAAATACATCATTTTTATATTGTAATAATCCCGAAATAATTTTTCCATCTTGATTAAGTCTTTTATCTTTTAAGTGCTAGATGTCTCATGTGTTTTTAAATTGTATGACTAAATAAAAATTGGATCAGATTTTATGAAGATATCGCGTAACATAAAAAGGTCCAAATATAAACCGCTACTTTTCATAGCAATTTTGTCAGAAATAACTTGTTTTTAAATACATCTGATAGTGTAATAATCCCAAAGACGCCATGGTTTAGTCAGCAATGATTACGAAACATGTGTATGACTGCATGTGGTGTCCCCCTCACTATCAAGAAATAATAAGACAAAACAGTTGCGCGCAGTGGTGTCCACCCTATCAATATATATAATATAATATGCGATTGGCGACAGTGATAACGATGAGAAAAGCGTCGCGCGATGATATCGCGGCGGCTGTCTTTGTAGCACGCGTACCCCGCTACTTGGTATATTGTCACGATTTATGAAGTTCAGATCTACTCGCTGCTGATAATATCACACACGGGCTGTGATAATCTACTGTTTCGATCGCCCGGAACAATAATGTTTTTTTTTAATAACAGGTAACCTACAAAATTAATTTTTATATAATATAATAAAATTAACAAGTTCGCTCGACGGCAAGCCTCACTGTAGTTTGTAAATGTTTGCACCATCAGAGACATGACTCGCGTGCCATTGTCTGTCGTGATTTTGAATCACACGGCAGAGCCGCTCTATAGCGCAGTTTTGGTGGAATGTGGGCAACGGGAGGGCGAGATAATAAACAACATGGGGACGAAGCGGAGGCTGACCTGCAAGACCTTGCCGGAGATGTAGCGCTGGCAGTAGGCGCAGCGCACGCCGTACAGGCGCTGGTAGTCGCGCTCGCAGTACGGCACGCCGCCGCGGCCCATGTATTCGCCCTGCAGCACGGCGCCGCACTCGCCGCACGCGAAGCACCACGTGTGCCACTGCCTGCGCACATCACCATCACCGCCGCTGTACAGCGCGCTCTCACTACCACTACCACTAACCACTATACGCTTTAACAGCGACTTTCAATATTTTAATTTTTTTTCCAAAAAAAAATTTACATCAATCATTACAAAATTAATATGAGACTAACGATAAACTATTAGTAAGCCATTGTGTAACATATACAAAAAAAAAAACAATCAAATTGAGAACCCCCACTTTTAAAAAAGCCATTAAAACAGAGCATACTTTCTGTCATTTTTTATTAATATTGTTAATTTTTTATAACAATTAATAATACTTTTATTTTTTATTCTACCAAGAGACCCAGTAGTCTCTATAAGAGAAGGATTATATTTCAACCTAAGTACAGATATATTGTATTAGCATGTACAAATGATTGAAACAAACAATTGAATACCCTCAACATTAAGCAGCTATTCAGAGCGAGTTTGCTGATTTGACTACATAAAATAACTGGCTGCGTCGTGTCCATCTCTTCCATAACCAGTCAATTCCACTCACCTATCTAAGGCGACCAGGGCCTGTCCTTCTGACAACTCCTGCCCGCAGCCCGCGCATTCTGAAAAGCAGAGTTTTAAAAGATTTTCAATAATTCAATCGATGAATCAACGCTATGTCTATTAATACTCATTAATAATAGCATTTAATTTATAACATGCAACATTTATAAAATCAAAAAAGCACGTTTTTAAAGTTGTGTTAGTTCATGCATAGCTTTGTGCAGATGAGGGATAGTCCTCGGGATAAATTTTTATCCGTCAGAGTACACTTGCATTTACATAGAATAATAGACATAAAAGCACAAGATGCACCTTGTCATCTCTCGTATGCACGATCTACTGTAGAAATATAAGCATTTATTTTAAAAGAAGATAAAAAAAGAACAAAAACCAGAGAATAAAAATAATTGAAATTAAAAAGTTATTTCAAAATATTGTCTAAATTCATAGTAATATCACAAATTATAATAATAAATAACATCATAGATTAAGGATAATCTCAGACAGTTTTTAATGTTCTATAAACAATGCCATCTAACGGTAATAAGTGTATAATCGATAGACAGCGTTGTATATAAAAAAAGTCTAATGTGAGCTCAACTAATTCGCTGAGGGTTCCGTAAAGTCTGTAAAGAGGCGTTTTTAGATAAAAGGTCGGAATTATTATTTTTATATGTTATAAAAAAACCATCAACACATGAGTAAAAATTTAAAAATATTGTTATTTTAATTAGGAATTCTATATTTTAAGCTGTAACAGTGGCTAGAAACGCAACCGCAATAATGAGGTTGGTTTTGGAGGTTTTTTATAAATTCTCACATTTTCAATCATTAGTCAAAAGCAAAGTACAAAAATTAATAAATGTTAGTATAAAAATGTACAAATTAAGCCCTTTCATATCACATTCCAATTTGACTTTGACGAAAATTTTCCATTATTTTTATTGCAATAAGCGTAGATCGAAATTATGTAAAACTAAATTTCAAAATAGCGTTGTGATAAACAGACGGATGGACAAAGTCACACCATAAAGGTTCCTTTGTGCCTTTTTGGTACGGAACACTAAACATAAGAGCAAATTGAAGATGAAATAACTATTCAATTTCATTAAAAAGCATGTAATGTCAACAAAGGTAAATAAATGTCCACCAACTAAGCGAGGCGACGGGTGGCCGCGCCGCTGCCGCTACCGCTACCGCTACACCTACCGCTACGACTACGAGCTGAGTGCGAGTAGAAGAAGTGTGTGCGTCTACCTCGGGCGGGCCCGCGTCGCTCACCGTTCTGGTCGGCGGCGTGTGCGGCGTGTGCGGCGTCGGCGGCGTGTGCGGGCGCGTGGTTGTTGAGAGGCGGCGCGGGCGCGCGGTCGCGGGGGCGCGGCTCGGGCGCGGGCTCGGCGAGCGGCTCGCGCGCCGCCCGCGCCGTCTGCCGCTGCGGCGCCGCCACGCACGCCGAGCACACCACCTCCGCGCCCGTGTACGTCACCTTCTCGCCCGACGGGAACGCGCGCCTGACACACCACCACCACCACATTAATCCGCCCCGCATTAAACACCTACGTACACTACCACTACACTACGCGGCTGCCTCGACCCACGGACGCCAAGGTGAAATCGTCACTATCCTGTTATGGGAGCGTTCTAACATTTTTCCCTAAGAACGTGGGACGAAAAGTTTGAGCTCCCCATGTTAACACGACGCGTCGAACTGTCATATCATCATGGAAGGCTCGAAATTATTTTCGTACTCTTTTCCTAGAGTAACATGTTCTATTACACCGATAAAATACTCCCTTAAAGGAATCCTAAAAATTAAGATTTTAACCTGTACATGGAATCTGGTAAAATATATTTTTTAATTCCTGTGATATCACAAGAGCAAGCCCCATCCCCTCATCAGCCATGCTTTCGGAAATACCACCTCCTATGATGGTATTCACTTTTTTCAAAACAAATTTAATGCAGAAACTCTGAGTGGAAATATACCCCGAATCCGGCATTCCTTACGATTTCTTGTAAAGAAATTAGATACGCAAAGAAAAATGCAATTAAAATCCACAATCATTGTACGAATATTACCAGAGGTCTTGGTATAAGGTATCACTACAAGTTGTACGTGCCGTGTTGTTCCCCTAGGGCCCCCTACGACATCCTCGATATAAAAAGGTGTGGTGACACGTCGTGTTTTTGCTCAGTCACCACACGATATAAACATCGATATTGGCCACGCGCCAAAAATAATGAACCGGGAAAATATTTGATGTGAGCTTAATATTTCACGGCACAAATCACCCTCGTAAACTACGTATGATTGTACGTTTTACTGTAAGAAAATTAGCTAGGCCGTAAATCAGCAGGCTAACACGATATGAAGAGGCAGTGCATTGCAGATCGATGGTTTACTGACTAGTCTGGCCATAAATACTGTTACATAAAAACTTTTCTTTTTTTCTACTTTTTAATTATTTTGAATTTGGAACACGTTTATTATTTGTTATAACAGAACTTATTGCTGGACTAGGTATAAAAATGTTTCGTTAGTTTTAGTATTATAATGAATAGGTATTGTACGTATAAGAAAGAAACATTTTTGTTTGATATCTTAGTATCGCAGGCCGTATTGAACAAACGGCAAATATTTTTTTCTTAACAAAAAATTATTATTTCCTTACAAAAAATTATTATTTCCTTACAAAAAATTATATTTTACGTAAGAAAAAAATAAGAAAATTGCACTGTCGTTACATTTATATTCTTGGCTCCGACAGGTTGTTTGCTATAATAAATATACTGAGCCACGAATATATATACATAGTGTTCATGCCACAATCATAACTAATGCCTCCAGGTGATGCAGTGATGATGAGATGCGGTGACCGCTATATCATTGTGCGGGCTGACCGCATGCCTAATTTATCATCACCCTAACCGTCCCACCTTTTACTATAGCATCGCTTTATTGGCGGGGAATCTATTCTCACACTTTAGAATGAACGGTCACGCACAGTGCAGTTTCAGAGGAGCTTCTTCCCACAAACACTCAAGGATGGGATTTTACAAAAAGGCATAATAAGGTGGACAACGCGCGCGTGACATCCCTAATGTTACAAGCTTTCATAAACTACAGTAAGTCCGTTTACCATCAGACGGGTCGTATGATTATTTGCCACAATAGTAGTATAAGAATACTTCGTTGTATTGATATATAAAATTGATTATATGGTGCAACAACACGGAACGCCTGCTGCTACAGTAAGCACTAGCGTATGTAATATACTGACTTGCATCTGGCGCAAGTGAAACATTTCTGATGGTAGGTGTTCCCAAGCGCGGACACCACCTCGCCCTCCACGTACTGGTTGCACGCAGCGCACCGCGTGCCGAACGCGCGCTGGTAGTCCTGCGCCACAAACAAAAAAACATTTTATCTCATATAATAGTAGCACTTTGATTACAATAGAGTGGGGCATGGCAGTGAGATTATAAGGTGCGGAGGCATAACACCATGGTCCTTAGGAATGGAAATGCCTGAAAAGTATCATGGATTTCTCAGTGCATTGTGATATCCATAGTATCGTTCATGTTTTAGACGGCAGCTTCCACTTTCCATTACTGGATGGTCAGCTTGTTTACCATTTTAAGTATCATAAAAAAACACACGAGTAAAATTAGGATATAATCTACCATATCAGTATCTTAAATTTCATTAATTTCCTACATGGATAATTTAGTATGCATAATTTAGTAATAAACATCCAAATGTCCAAATACTTTTACAAAAAAAAGAAAAAATAGCAGCTCATTCAAAAATGAAACGATTCGGAAAAGTTGATGGAAGATTATTTTCATTCAACGAGGAACAAAGATTACCTTGTTCCTTGTTGGATGTACACACCTATTAGACTGATTATAATCTGAAGTTAGACAAAACTAATACATAATAACTAGCTGTAATATACGGATTTGCCGACTTTAAGCGAATTAGGCTGAAAAATTTAAACGACTCTGTGTGTAAATCTAGGACATGGACCATCTGTGTACCAAATGTCATTCAAATCTGTTCAGCCGTTTAAGCGTGATTGAGTAACAATAACAAACATACAAACGCCAACACAATACAAACATTCATATTTATAACAATAATAGAATTTGATGGGGAATGGTAAATACAGCAGCATCTGTATGTTTTCGTATAGAGCAGCATAGAATTGCATAACAAACTACACTACACAGTTGCAGTGGAATTTAGCAGGCGTCACAACGCTTGCCTTCCATCTGCTAACTTATTGATAGTGAACTGTTTGTGCCCCAGTGGGCTAGTATCTGTAACCCAATACACAAACACCTGTTACAACTCAAGTGGTACAGCGCAGTGTGCCGTACGATCTCGAGTACCTAAGATAAACATTGCTAAACTAAATACCGATACAGAAACCAGTATCAAACAGATGTCTACTGGTTTTTTATACGATTTGATACAGCCCACTTGATGGAAAATAGTAATTGTCACATTCTAAAAAACTAAGATATCATACTGCTGTATCCAGTAGTTTCAATGCGCAACCAAAAGACAGTTATGGAGCCTGGCTGTATAAACAAGAGTAGGTCAGAAGTACAGTAAGTAACTATGCAGACATGTTGGGCTATTTAAAATATAAATAATTTTGGAAATGACTACTTAAATTTTGAATAATTCTACTATTACATTGAATTGATCATTAATAGTAGAGGTACTAATACTTTCCCTATATGTGTATAATGAAGTAACCAGTAATATGGACTTGAATAAAGTGACAAAAAATATATATTAGGCGAATGAATGTAACGTCAGACAGTTGGCTATGAGACGGTGCGAGGAGCGTACAAATAGGTAGATAGCTGTGAATCAGCACTAACATCATTTTCGATTCGTAAGATACGATGTCACGCTAATGATAATATACAAGTATCATTATGTAAGTAGATCAATTTGCTTCTTTATTTCATTAATATTTTACATGCACCAGATAATTACGATTTCTTGAATTTATTTTAAAACAATTTTATAAGAAAGATTCCTTCTTCGCGCATTATATATGCATATGTATCGCGACATCTTAGATAATACTGAATCGATAGTGATAATTCTTTACTGCGTACCTCAAAAAGCAGATACTCAATTCGGTTATATTTTTTATGCTTGTTACTTCATAATTGCGTTTATTTAAAACCATAAGTTGCACTGCGCATGCCCCTGGTATTGCAGGCGTTCATAGGCCACGGTAACCGCTCACCATCAGGTAGGCCGTATGCTTATTTGCCACCTCAGTAGTATAAAAAAACCTCTGTTTCCAAATTACTAAAGAAAACCCCGTAATAATATGTAGGTACTTGAAACATTTTAGAGCTGATTTTTACTGGAAATAAACTCGAGCAGTTTTGTTCCTTGTATAGCTTGAGACATTTAATGTCAATGTAGATTGAGTATTACTTGCGGCTGCGCTGTGCGTGTGTGCGCGCGCGTGTGTGTGTGCGCGTACCTGCGGGCAGTAGTAGTGTCCGTCTTTGCAGAAGAAGCCGCCCTTGGCGAGCGAGGCGGCGCACGTGCGGCACGTGAAGCACGCCGTGTGGAAGTACTTGTCGGACACGCGCAGCACCTCGCCGCTGCACTTGCCGCCGCACGCGCCGCACACCACCTTGCCTGCGCACACGCACCACCATCATCACATTAATCGACAGCCTCTCTTATACGACTTGGACTGGCAATGGGGCTGTCAAACTCCATTGCTAACAATCCCTCCCCCTCCTGCTACTTTCCATCAGGAGGGCATCATAGTGTTGTCTTTTTTTATGCAATTTAGAATGGCAAACAAGCTGACGGCCCACCTGATGGAAAGTGGTAACCGTCGCCTATAGACATGAACAGTACCATGGATATAATAGAATATATTATTTCGCCTATGATACATCCCATACGTTGCCATTCCTGAGAACTCAGGTGTTATTCCTCTGTATCCTATAAATTCACTGCCATATCCCACCCTTCAAACCGAAACACAGCCATGCAAACACAACTGTTTCACGGTAGAAACACGAATGGGACAGAGGTGCTCAAGCAAACGACTTTTGTACAGTCTCTCTTTGGTATAAAATTCTGATATAAACTTAAATATCATAATAATATTACGTTAAAGTTACAGCATAAAAACGTTAATTGATCTCAGTTATGTTAACTACCGTACTTTTCAGCTATGTAATTAATCGCCTTCTTTATTATAACACTTTGATGACTTGATAGGACATAATGTTGCCCCTATGACCACTTTCCTGTTCCAAAATTAGACGTTGATCACCGTCTGTAAGCGGTTAAAATAGAAACCAATGTTTCAATTTAGTTATAAATAGTGGCTTGTATAAATATTATCAGATGTTTGGCAGACGATCGACGCGGCGGTAACACGGATGTGAACACTTTCGATTCATACCTATTACATTTGCCTTCTATTATCACTATGCTAAAATATGCGAACTTACGACGGCCATATTTTATGAAGAGTATTCGAGATAACTTGTACCGGTGTTTGCTAAAACTGTAAACAAAGATTAAGTGCGAAATAATGTACTATTCTAGTAATTTACGTCAGAATCCAATTATGTTGTTATAGACAAATACTTGATGACTAAGGCGAATTTAAAGATTTCAAATGGTACACAACGAGAGACCTATATGATATATTCCAACACAGAGTTTAATTATTATGACTTTTCAGGTTTTTAACGATAATTTTGCTTCATTACAAACATTTTTTTTTATTAATATACTGTGATTTAAAGAAATATTCATTTACTCTATAATTTCAATAAATTCCAATTCCTGCATGCTCTATGTAGAGAGAGGGGGGGGGGGGGGCGGGCGGCGGCAATAAAAAACGCACGTAATAAATTCCTATTAATCGGCGAGGTCAATTGAGCCCGCACCGTGCCCGTCGGTCGGCCGAATGCCGGGTGTCGGGTGCCGCGTGCTGAGCGCCGAGTGCTGGGTGGCGCGCTCCCACGTATGCACAGGTCATGCACTCATCAATTAGAACGACTACACACGAAATATAGGCACAGTATAAGGCTCATTACGGCCGTGTAGCATTCACGTTTATGTATATCAAAATGTATAGGTGCGGACTGCTGCTAATATCTTCAACGAGGTGGATCAATTCAGTCATGCCAACCAAGGTCTACCATATCGCCAATAAAACACAATTTATTATGTTCATATTTCGCCGTTGACGATACAGAGGGAGACTTTGTACAAAAGTCGATTGCTTGGGTACCTCTGTCCCATTCGTGTTTCAACCGTGAAGCAGCTGTGTTTGCATGCCTGTGTTTCGGTTTAAAGGTTGGGATATGGCGTGAATTTACTGGGTACAGAAAATAACACCTGAGTCCTCAGGAATGGCAACGCATGGGAGGGTATCATGGGCGAAACAGTATACTCTGTTATGTCCATGATACTGCTCGTGTCTATAGGCAACGGTTACCACTTTCCATCAGGTGGACCGTCAGCTTGTTTGCCATTCTAAGTTGTATAAAAAAAAATTCATACTACGCAATATACTTTGTGGACTTAAATAGTCAAACAACAATCATTTATAACGTGCATAATTGTAGACAAATCCGTAATTTTTATGTCGATAACGTGCGCGGCAACAGTGCGAGCCGCGATCTTTTGCAGTAACTTGCATTAATTTGTAGTCTCAAAGCCAATACATTCATGTATGGTTCAATGTTGGAATCAACGAATCTTTGGACAGACATATGGTAGGTGGGCAAGGCATAGTCCAATGTGTGGGTACGTGGTATGACGCGCCCATTGGAGGCGCCAGAGGTCACGGGTGCAACTGCAATGACCTCTGATTATTGTTTCAATCAACCGCAGCCGACCCGTGCCCGCGTGCTTACAACCTGAGATATCTGATAGCAACATACATTTACTTACCTTGATTTATTAATTAACAACTGTCACAAACGCTCCGTAGTGAATTCAGATATTTATGACCTGACACCGACTTAGCCTCTGTGTGTTTCACCCAGAGGTCACATATATCGGTTACCAGAGCAGAGTGAAATATAAACTGGCTCCAATAGATGTTGAATGAACGTAGGTTTTATTTACTTTAGAGGATGTAACACAAATTGGGGGGAGGGGGTGCCTTAAAATGTAACGATACGTTATCGAATAATGCGTTTCATAACTGTTTTTTTTATTTATTTAAATAATAAAGTAGGGAATTAAAATCTCCCACGTTGGCAACCCTGTTCGTTTATGTTTTACGGAGATTCCTCAGACAGTTATTATACGTCATTTTTATTTAGTCTACGTTGTCAGTATTCGCTAGTATTGTGGCTTTTTGGGAAAAATGGTCACTTGGGTGGTACATAACGTTTAAAGTTTGGGCTCAGAAATTCGTTACGTAGGTGAGAGGGTTAAAAAATACTTGAATGTCTCATTATTGGAAATACAAAACATAATACAGTAAACAACATTTCTTAAAGTAAAGGTATTATTACAGAATAAAGATAAAGAATTATTTGCAAAAACATGTGTGTTTAAAGATGTCATACTCAAAGTTCGAACACGTTTTGCCAATATTAGCACACGATATTTTTTGTTGACGAACTTTAGGTTTACAAAAAATAGGATAGTTAAATCTCAGGGGGCACTGTGATTACTCTCACACTATTATAAGTCACAGAAAACATGTGATGGAGTATGGACCAGATCACTAGCGAGCTGGTTAAGTGACGTGAACACGACTGTCCTATAATAGTAATAACTGTACGTTTACTGTTCAAAACATGTTTGTAAATAACGAATTTTAAAAAGGTTCTCGACTGCAACGTTGATAATCATTTTGATTGAAGGCCAATCTCGGATAACCGGGTACGGATTGACAGTTACGACATCTGTACAGTAGATCAGAAAAGTTACAATACGACAGTGACGTTTGTTCGTGATGGAAAGCTTACGGTAAAGGTGATCTCCTCGATGGCTCTCGAGACAAGTGTACTGTTCTAACTGGCTTTATTAGAGGGAAAAGGATTGTTAGCAATGGAGTTTGACAGCCCCATTGCTAGCAATATACCTTATTAGGTCGACCTCCACGTGGTTCCCCCTGGAAACCATCGTAAACAATTCTTGTTGAATTCGTCACGATGGACTAACTGACCTATTCATTCTCACCTATCATCCTTCACTGGTGCCCCGCCGGTGTATACAGATAGCGCGAGTGAGGCTACCATTCCATTATCATCCATTAAAAAAAAAAAACTGGCTATATTTGTGTTTGCTAGTGCGAGCAATAACATAGTGTTAGGCACGTACGAGTACAATAACGTACTCGTATTTTTCTAATTATCAACAAACAACAGAACATCAAGAAATTAAGAAATTATTATGAAATCCTTAGTAATAAAATTATAATTATAAATAAAAACGTGAAATTGTTTATTCTTCTTGGCGTCATAATGATTTAATCAATAACTATGAATTTTGATATATACTTTTTATAAGGTCAGTGAACAAACGCCAGTTGCGTGGATGAAGTCACGGGCAAAAGTTAGTATCAAATAAATAGACAGGTGCGAAGTAGAACCACGCGGGTGAGGTGTGTACCGTTGCACTGGGTTATTAAATGCGAAATTCATTGTAACACAGCACCATGGATTCCTATAAGTGCAGTTTTTACGGTTCCGTACCAAAACGGTATCGAGGAACCCTTATAATGGACTTTGTTCACCCGTGTCCATCACATGAAAATGTGAGGAAAATAACTATCGCCCTTTATCTCCGAAGTTTGTGTAGCGAAAATTTTAAAATAATTATAGTTTCGTAGAGGGATATACGAATATGACAGGAAATATAAAACAAGGTTTTAAACTAGCACCGTTTTTAAGAAACAAACAAACAAACCTAGTTACGTGGTCCAGTTTTTAACCACAACTATGACCCACAATAAGTAATTACGAATTGTAGTGTTAATATATAACATCTATTTATCTAATTTGTATGAGAAATGCAATAAAGATTATTTTATCTTATATTTATATATACAAAGTACGACGTGTGAGTCCAACTTGCACTTGATCGGTTTTATTTATATATTATGATTCCAGTAATATCATACACAACATAGGTAATATTGTAATGAACTTTAGGCCATCCTAAAATGGAATCCGCTGCCTCGGAACCATATAAAACGATCAAGTGAAACAATCGACACGGCTGATGTCAGCATTTTCCTTTTTAGTGCATTGAACGAGTGCAGTATAGTGTGGGCAGGTGGCGGCGACGCGGCGAGGCGGCGACATGCAGATTCAGCTGTTAGTCGTGGGTTTAATTCTAATCTTTTTTTATATGCAACTTAGTATGGCAAACAAGTTGATGGCCCACCTGATGGAAAGTGATAACCGTCGCCTATAGACATGAGCAGTACCATGGACATAACAGAGTATACTGTTTCGTCCATGTCGCCCTCCATGCGTTGCCATTCCTTAGGATTCAGGTGTTATTCCTCTGTATCCTGTAAATTCACTGCCATATCGCACCCTTCAAACCGAAACACAGCCATGCAAACACAACTGCTTCACGGAAAAACATTATTTATCCATATACAATTATTTGTATTAATATGTTCATATTTACCAGGA